TCCATGTCGAATAAATATCATGTTCATAAGATTTAGCCAAATTATAATTGAGATTGTATTTGGTTTGGAACAAAAGGATATTGGAGTAGATCACCGTTGGAAGATGTAATGTACACATCAAAACTAACAAAATCACCTTTAATCAAGTGAATATATATTAAACAGAAAAAAAGGTGTTAAGTGAAAAAGTTCAATGGTGCAATACATTGTTAAGTTCGATGACTAAAAATTAAAATAAGAGTTCATGGACTAAAATTAAACTAGGGGTAAAGTTCAGAGATCGTTGCTATAATTCGGTCAAATGGTTCACATTCACATACATGGCTACCTATGCATCTACATTCACTTATTCATGACATTCAAACCCTTGCGCATAAGTTGCAAGCTAACATGTTTATGGAGAATCGAATTTCAGTCATGACTAGTTCTTATTGCACATTATTGGTTTGTTAATATTCTTTAGCAATTTCTTCGAATTTTTTGTACGAGTAAAGGAAGTTAAAGATCCTGAGAGGATCATCGTTGTAATATAATTTCAGTTAAAAAAGTACGTTTAATTTACAGCAAATACACATTTAAGAGATATCCTGATATATATTTGTTGGACGTTGTTCGTTGTCATGACTGATGATCATGACAAGTACTGTGATTTGGCATGTACTATCTTTAATGTTGTTGTGTGAGAAATCTGTGTCAAACCCATCATCGCAAAATATAACTTGGTCTGGGTCGTACACATATTGTGCACATGGTTTTGAACCCTGTCGACGACACAGCCGATGGTCCCATGCATGCAACCAGGAACCAGCAAATGAAAATCTCGATAGATCGTATGCCAGAAGTAGCATGATTAGACCATCTAAACTTATTTAGCCATGCATGAAATCTTCCTGAGCGAACCAACAAACCTGCCTCCATTTGGGAATTAAATCAAAACCTTATTAATATTCTACTAATTTGGCCCATAAAATCACTTCTAATCCCGTTTTCTGTGATTGATTATTAGGGCCCAGAAAATCTTATAACCCCACCTTCCACGAAGGGAGTTAGATTTTTTTATTCCTTTTTTTTTTTTTTCTGATGGAAATAGATGGAGTGGCATGCCACATGTGCCTGCCTAGCTAACTACTGGCTTTTAGCTTAAGGATTGTTTGTTGGGCAGCAAGAAAATGGGATCAAATGACCCACCACCACATCCACATCCACCCTTAAATGTCATGCTTTTTTGCGATAATACGACCTAGAACTCTCCACTTCTGTAGAGCAACATCTTGGGTGTAATTGTTTTACAATTTCTCTCGTTATGTGATCATTATTTGACAAGTCATGTGATAATGAAGATATATTGGATGACTAGTTCATGACTAGTTTAGATACATTAACGATTTAATGTTATTACGGAAATATTTAAAAAAACACAAACACATAATTTGATCGACCTCTCCATCTAAATTATTCTTCTATAAGTATCTTTGGTTAATTCATCTAACTATTATATAGGTAGTGCAGCCTAGCACACAGTTGAATTTAGACCCAATTTTTGGGGAGAAATGATTTTAACTCCTCTTTTTCCCTCATACACTCCTCTCATATATGTTAGTTGATAATTGTTTTTTATTTTTTTCAATCCAAAGGTTAACCACCTTTGAATTATCGACTATGGATTTAGGGGTCCGACAATAAGGGGAATCTAGCATACAACAAGATACTCACACTATCTCTCACATTACGTGCCCTCATATGGTGTGAGAGAAAAAGAGAGAGATATCATCGACACGAACAAGATCTCCTCCAAGATTGGGCATAACAAATTGGTGACAATGGTAGTTGTCAAAAGTTGTTTCATGTATACTCAATCACAATGAGTTTTTTTGTATTAGAAATGAGTTTTCTGCACAAACTATTTTCCTATTCTACACTTTTATTTATTTTTATCATTTGATTCTCTTATTATAATTTAATCCAAATATTTAAAAATAAATAAAATAAAATAAAATAAAGACGTGGAGAAAGAGATGGCCATGGTAGTTGTTTGGGTTTATATTTGACACTGGGCTTTGTAATAATGAAGGCCCGAAGATGCGAAAACAAATAAAAGACTAGGTTTGGGCAAGTCAATGGACCCAAGATGAATTGGAAGCTATTTCAGCGAAGGCATAGGCCACATGTCAATGATTGAAGTGCCCAAGATGAATTGGAAGCTATTTCAGCAAAGGCATAGGCCATATGTCTATGATTGAAGTGATGGGCAACAGAAAACACCTCACCACCAGCCAAAAAGCACTTTTCAAGGGCATGGATGAGTAAATAAGTGATGATGACTCACTGCCATCAGAAAAGACATCGGCTAAAAGCAAAGCTTAGATAGTCAGGCCAAATTGTCTATAAAAGTAGAGAGGGACACCAGAGACAATGACACTCAACCAATCAATCAAAAGACATCTCACTTTGCTCTCAAGCAAGCAAGAAACCACAAAGCTAAACTTTGTCTATATCTTGTCCTTTTTAGTTATAGTTCCCTTATGGAAATCCATCTTTTGTCTAGATTAGAAGCTCTGCTACCTTCCCCTAATGTTGTAGTATCGATTCCCTCTTATAGAACCCTTTTACTTTTCATCCTCCAGATTATAGAAACCCCCTATAAACATAAAGAAAAGTGGCTGTAAGAAGTTGAACCTTGCTTAACAAACTTAAATCTTGCCCGACTCTCTTTTGTTTGTACTTACATATAGTATATCTATTATTTAGTGCATTTTCCTTCATGTTTTTAAATCATTTTAGCTGTTTTACACTTAGAAGTTCCATCCGCAATCAAATCTGGATAAGTCAATGAACCTGTTTTCATTAAAACGAACTTTGACCGAGAAAATGGTTGGAAGGGCCTTGAACTCCCTTCATTTTGGACATACAAATGTTATGGATTAAAAGTCCTTGTTTACAAGGCAAGAAAATAACCTTATACAGACTTAACCAATCTGTGACAATCCTTTGATAAAACAAGAAGTCTAAATAACTTATGGCGCAAGTAACCAACCTATTTCACCTCCATTCAATAATTTGTTATAAAAAGATAACAGTGGTACGCTTAGGTCCTTGTTAGTTTTGATTGAGAGCCTCAAGGCCTAAACCAAATGCCGGACAAAGGCACCTTTCAAACTAACAATCAACTTGTATTGTAGCACAAGAAGCAGCAAGATCTTGCCCGACATGCAAGAAAAAGCCAGAGCCCCGAGAAGCTGTGCGAGGGACTAGATCCTGAAATCCAGCCCGAACAATAGTTAATCATTTTTCGTCCCTTTTGTATTATGGTGTAATATTCTTATAGACTAAAGAGTAAACCGTCCCCATGAACTAACAACCCTTTCGAAATTGTCTCCCAAAACTTATATTTCAGAAAATCAAGGATTTAAACTTGAAGAAAGAAATAGTTCGTGAAGAAACTGCCAATTTGTTCTTGTTTTGGCCTTTTCATGCCAGTCACATTCTCCTTTTCTTCTTCGGCTCAAAATCCACGCACTCACCTAGTCACACGAAACGTGAGAAAACTTATGGCACGAAGCAGAAGTTAACAAAGACAAAACCAAGGTCCTATTGGTTTCCACACATAAACAGTTGAATGTAAGGTATTGATCACAGGGCTTCCTTCTCAACAACAATTTGAAACGCATTGATACAAAGATATTGCGACGAAACTATTTTCCCTATCGCCAGTCTGGCCAAATGAACCAAATACACTTCCATCATCTTACAAAATGGAAATGGCAGACAAGCAATCTCCAAAACCCCACAATTCTAATGGCATGCTAGTGAATACGCAATACGACCATCATCAACTTCCAAATTGTAAGCTATAATAATTACATACAAAATTCAACTCACAGTCACAGAGATCATAATAGTTGCAAAACATTCCCTTGATTTGCTCCATACTGTTATTCAAGTAACAGATGATAGATACAGTAGCTACTGAATTAGAAGGAGAAACAGAAAAAAATGCAGAAAAGAAACAAGGCAACAACTGCATATACAACATAAACACAATCTGTAATAAAACACTAAACAGATGAAATGTAGCGTTTCTTATTGAATGTAAGATGTGGAGATTATTTAGCCACTAAGCTGACAACGTAAAACTGAGTGACTAAATTTGATATCCAACTTGTCATTCACAATTTTACGGAAATTAAATCTAAAACCACCAATTTATAATTGTGAAAAAAAATACCATTAAATTGTAAAATTGAGTGAATAAATTTTCATTTTTCGCTCTTAATGATTATTTTTCTTTGCGTGAAATGTAACACTTTAAATCAGCAGTTAGGGAGGTTGTTGGTTTGGAATGTGACTCTTAACACATTGATCGTATCACTTGATTGCTGAATGCAGGGAATTTGATGGCTCAATATTAGAGTTATTCGATGGAACACATAATAAAAAGAGATGAACTATGCTGCAAACAAACATGGGTCATCAGCTATCTCTACTCTATATAATTTTGATTTATAAGACAACTTACATAAAACGAGACTTCGTTAATTAAACTTGTGGGAACATTTGTGCATGTAATTACTATTTTACTTTAAAAATGTGACTTACTTAGGCCTTCAACAGCAGTTTGAATGCGTGTGATACTTATATAAAAATTACGTAATTTAAGTTTGATATCTATATATACCACTACTGTTATACTAGTATGAGTTCAATATATTAGTATCATACTTAAATTTTCCGATCCATTATAAGAATGCGAATCTTACATGTGTACAATATATTAATATTACATTCATTTTTTCTGACATACTGTAGACAGTCTTACACACCCCTGGTGACGATTTTGTTCCGGACTAATAACATGACACCAAATGTTAACTTGAGGAAAACGACACTTTATCCGGCCGTTTCGTGTAAGTAATTCTCTTCTAATATTTACCGCCACTAACTCTCTCTTGTACTTCTTGTTAAAAAACCGTTAACCAGCTTTTCCCTAGGAAGTTACCAGTCTCGCAGCCACTGGTCAGCTATGGCGACGGCTACACGGCGGTGATGGGCAGGGTGGCGCTGACGACGTGGCGGAATGAATCGCTTCAAGACCGTAGCTTTCATCTGGCTCCTCTATGCCTTGTTTTTCTACTCTCTCTTCCGAATGGCCCTCAGGAACTCCGACTCCTCACGCAATTACTCCTCCGCCTCCGGTAAATTCCAATTCCTTTTCCCTTCACTCTCCCACTATCTTCTGTTTGGTTCCCGAGAAAATTACTTAAATCACAATTTCCCGCTGCAGATTCAGTAATTTCGAACAAAGAGCGGAGGTCCGTATTATACGATCGGATGGGTCGGGATTTGGAAGACCATGGACCAGTTTTTCTCAACCGCGGCGGCCGAACCTCTCAGTCTCTGTCACTTTCTGATATTTTTACGATAAGGGATGGATCTGTAACACCTGTACTTAAGGTAATCCTAATTCGTTGATTAAAGAGTTAAACTATGGAGATTTGGCTAATTGGATATTTTATCATGTGTGTGTTCTATGTAGGCAGCAAATCCTCCTGTTCGTGCTAATGTGTTGTATCTGAGCACGCAATACTCGCTTCCGATTTCGTAAGTATTTAGCTTTGTTCTTTCATTGTGTTTTTGAATTCGAATGGTCAATGATGGTATGGGAAAGAAACAATTTTTAGGGCTGATATTAGCAATGTAGCAATTGTTTTGGTTATTAATTATATGTGTGATTCGGGATGGAGCGTAGGATTGACATCGTGCGCATTAGAGTTTAGAAATTTTGTTCGGGGAGGCGTTTTGCTGAAAGATTACAAGATTAGGTACAATTTTCATAGCTTTAGCTTAATGCTCTTTCGTTAATGTCGTGTATCGGTGCTTGGCTTGTTGCAGGAAGGCGCTCAAACCTATACTCGATCCTTACTTCGATAAGGGTAAGCTACTGTCTGCCAATTTATAATGTCTTTGACAGATTATATGATCATAGCTTACGAATAACGGAGTAATTTATCTATTTTTCAACTCGCACGTTTACTATTTGTTGGTATGCTTATGTGCCTATCTTGGCTAGCAATCTGGTTTCAGAACTCGAGCTTGTATCATTTTAGTATGTTTCATGCCTCGCATCATATTTCACCTGTTCCTGCTACGCAAGGCGAGGTAGACTGCACTTCTGGAGCCATTCATGTGTTTCCTAACATCTTGTAATTTGCACTTAAACATGAGTTTAGTTTTTTAACCCTGTTTTTTATTTTTCCCTCAGATTGAAACCGAAGCAGCTGCAGTCAGGACTACTTCACAGGGTCTCTGCCCTTTAAAAATTGTCTTAGACAGAGTGGTCTTGACCTCAACAGGTGTGCTTCTTGGGTGCTGGCAGGTTATTTTCCTTAACCTATATACTCACCTTTTTCTTTCTTCCTGTTCGTAATGTATGTCACATAAGAGTATTTGATCCCTGTAAATACAGATTTTTAGAAAGGTCGCAATTTCATAACCATCAAGGGAACCATATAACCGAGAAACTATTTTCCGGAATCAATCTTTTGTATTTACCTTCTTTTTTTTCCGTTGTAGGTAATCTCTGGATCAGATCCTATAACCATTCGAGCAAATTTGAGGACCGCGCTTCCACGTGCACCAGAAAAGCAACTTGTAACAACCATATATATCTGTCTTTATTCATTTTAGACAAGTACAGTAGCCCAATACTATGCAAACTAAGAGTTGTTGAGTTTACCAATAGACTTACTCTTAATGAGTTGAGATCATGGAAGAACCGAGGTTTTAACGGTTAATATATGTTTGAAAGTGAACGATTGTAACTCTTGCTTGAGGCGACTCTCTCCTGCTACGAAACTTCTTCCTTTCTGATTTATCTTATTGGCTGTCTGCGGGGCACATGTGTTCCGGCAAAAGTTATTTCATTCTTCTTCAAGTTCTAGAATTTAAAATAGAGCTTTCCTGCACATGAAAGGATATTTGCAGCAATGAATACCTTCTTATTACTAAATATCTGCTATGAAAGGATAAGCAGTCTGAAGGTGCATTAATCCAATTTCGTTAAACTATAAGAAATACATGATAAATCCTGATGCGGAACTCATTGTGGCATCGCAGCTCCCCTCATTATTGCGTTATGAAATGTTATTGGTAGACTGACAGCAAAATTCTCCCTGTCTCTTATGCTTCTAGCACTTGCTAATCTGCAGCCGTTGTCTCCTGCAGTACGATGCTGTCATTCTTCATACTTCATTTGCAAGGCTTCTCGGTCACGCAAAAGCATCATCCAAGGTAGTACATCTAATGACTCTTAGTTGCCTATCTCGTTGCTTGGCATCGTATGCACCTGTTTTAATATTGCGGTTCCAATTTATTTGGCGATCTGCTGAAAATTTTATTCCCAAATGTGCTTCTAATCTTTGCAGAAAATCGGAGTTTTCTAATTGCTTTTCAATTTTCGTAGTTTGTGAAATTTGACAACTCTTTATAAGATCAATCCAGAACAATTCATCGACTAGAGTTGAAGAAACATGTCTCATATCATTCTAAGATCGACTGCCACTGCATCTATGTACATGTAGGTTCTGTTATTTACGTAGTTTTTGTCGTGTTCAGGTGCTATCTAATACTTCAGATCAAATCCACTTCTTCCAAGAGCTTGTTCATCGTCTAAACAACGAACTCCAAGGATTTGAGGTGAGTTGTTATGCCGTGTATATCACTCTACGTACGTAATTTATGGCTCGTGTGTTTCCATAATATCCGAGTCTTTCAAGATCCTCTAAAATCAATTGAATTCAGGCAGTGGTATCTGAGCTCTGGTATGTGGAGGAATTCGACGTGTTGGCTCTAGCATTGAACGGAAGAATGAAGGCGCGCAGGTTCCAACTTGGCTGCTCAAGAAGTTGACATCACGATTCGCCAGTTCCACTAGTAGAAACCCAAAATTCAAGTAAATAACGCATTGTTTTACAAGTTAGTTGTTTTACATCGAAGCAGGTTCTCTGTGCTGGCGTGTAAATTCGCATCTTGTTCTTCTAAACTGAAAATCTAAAGCAAATAATTGATGGTGTGGACTTGATGAACGTTTCTCGAACTTGAAAGTACCTTATGATAAGGGAACGCTTAACGACATATATGATGCGAGGCAGGTAACGTACTAAGCAGAACATTAGCAAACATAAACAGAAGCATCACGATTCACGGCATAAGCGCACCAACAGATGGTACGGTGGATTAGTGGTTTGAGCGCATAGCGACCAGCTTGACTGTCGGAGAGTCGCCATTACTGCCCAAAAGAGAATCAATATTTTTTTTTTAGTACGACGATATATGTTACACTACAAGAGATGGGAGTTTGGCTAAATTCACACGATGGACATCTTAATTTGGTATCGATCGCCATTCACAAGATTCAAACCTAAGACCTCTCACTTACAAATGTATACCAAAAGACCGTAGTACTGAATGACAAAGAGAACCAATAAATAAATATGAAGGAAGTGTAGAACAAGAAATTCAAAATTGAGGTGTCAAATTCACTGCATCCATCCACTGCATCAAGTTGGGGTGACAACATGATCACTGTCATTCATTGTCCTGTAGATGGACGTTCTCATGGATGGCACACGCCTAATCCTTCCTCTTTCTTTTTTTTTTTTTTTTTTTTTTTTGTAAAAAGGAAAACTGGTGGCAAGTCACGATTATCTATCATTTTCGGAAACCGGAAAGATTCACAGAACCTAAAACAAATTAAAAAATTGCAGTCACTTTCAGTAACGCTTGGAAAATACGTATGCTTCCTTGTGGATGCCACAACCCTCTCTTGCCAAACAAGTCCTTGTTGTCATTTTCTTTTAAATTATAGACCGTGCACATATTCTTTGCTAAAGTCAAACGTCAAATTGATCAGTCTGTGTGCGCGGACGAATGACGATTGCACAAAAATGATCTTTGATCAGAAACTACACACGTGCAAGTAGATGATTGCTTGTAGCATAAATGAATTACAAAAATTAACTCAAATCCACTGGCGGAGAAATTTTCTACATGTGAGAAGACTGAGATGCAAAGTCTATCTCGAGCTTCTTACACAATGTTATATGCTTAACTTTTTTTTGATAGTTTTGAGGGAAAGGAGACTATTCTATCTCAGAGTCAGAACATATCATAAGCTTATTTGAGCACTAACAAATAAGGTCTTAACCTCTTTTTTAATTTCTATGGATCGGTTACCAAGAGGGATTGCCGGCAACATAACTCAAACATAAACCTTGTTTAGCAAAGAGAATGATCTTTACTCATTCAACCAATCCTTATTGGCTATATGTTTGAACTTTATCACATGGCAGCTCGTTGTTTACAATCCTCATTGACTATCATGTGTTGTCTTAAAAACTTACACGTAATCAAACACTAACCAAGACAAATCACGATAAGTGGTTCAGTGGAAAGGTACAGATTATAAATTGTGAATCTGTTTAATCGTAATCATGAGTAGGATGTAATTCCTAATTAGCATGAAAGAGAGAAGACTAATCAAGACATGATAAAATTAAAATTCTAAAAAATGTTAGACGTTGAAAGCTAGTCGAGCAGTAAGTTGGAACCTAGCTGTTAGGCCGCGTTAGCCGGGATTTGTAGATAAAATGGAAAGCAAATGGCACGAGGGAAGAAAATCGTAAAATATGCAGAGACACAATCCACAGCGCATACGAAGGAAGGTCACGTGTCCGGGTTCATTACACAGCAAAAGGGCAAGCGCTCGCCACACGCCTCCGCTGCCTCGTTTTCTCCCGCCACACTCTATGTCTTCCTCCTCCCCTAAACGCCAAGCGTAACAGTTACCTCTTTCAATTCATTTCATTTAATCTCCGGATATATAAAATCTCCAATTTTCCTCACATTCCTTAAAAATTCCTCAACTTTTCTTGATCCAAGTCCCAATTTTTGTTCCCGCCATTTCCATCTGCAGTTAGCTAGGGTTTGTTATCTGTAATTCTACATTTTCTGATCAAATTATGCAGTTTTTTGTTTGTACTTTTGTTCAGTATAGTTGATTTGTTTGTGATCTAGCGTCTCTGGAAGTTTGTAATTTCTGAAAAGCATAAATCTTTTGTAGTTTTGTTGGATTTTGGGTTCTGAAATTTAATAGTTTTTAGTATCTGCTAAGCTGGATTTATGATTTTCAACTGGCAAAATGTAAATATAATTTCAATTTATTGAATTTTTAGTGGGCTATGAGGTAGAAGAAGTAGTTGGGGGAAAAAGAAAACTAGGGTTTCACTTTGAATGTTGATTGTGTACTTCGATTATGTTAAATACAACATGCTTTATATAAGGAAGTGCAAAAATTTACGCATTGTTTGGATGATTTGTAGGCTATAGAGCCTTATTCGGTTCATCAAGATGATCATGGGTTCACCGGATCCTGTGCCGGCAGCTGACGAGGGTAATGTGGCAACGGAGGCATCAGTGCGCCGGTAAGTTCTAGAGATCTTAGGTTTGGCATGATTTTATAAGCATTCTTACGTGTGCTAGCAATTTTCTACTATCTTGATTAGATCTAGTGCTTGGAGTATCAATTAGAGGTTGGAAGTTCACGTGTACTTAGGAACGGTAAAACTTGTCTTGCTTTAGAAACTTGATGCGAATTAGTGTAGCATTTAGAAAACGATTTGTAAAATGAAAATGCAGAAATGCGATTTCTGAAATGTTGTTTGAAGTTACAGGGTCTATGTATGTTGTAGCATCAATATAACCTTTGTACCTGGTGAAATCTACGTAACTCTCTGGAATGTTGGATGTGTTGCTCACTAGTTACCGATCATGAATTAGCTTTAATAGAAATAGCTGCAACTAGTGATGGATAAATTTTGGGTTAAATGTGCTCAACGTTTTGGTGTTTATGTGAAAGAAAGAATGCTATGGTTGGTAGACTCGCATTATCGAGGTTAATAGTGGTGTCTACTTATTGCCTTTCTAACTGACCAAAGGATTCAATAAGGTGTAATATTGTCAGCAAGCACTTAACTCCTGTTCATAAATCAATCTGATATACTTTGGCTATATCTCTTTCCGATGTGGTAATATTGTGTTTTTTATTTAAACAAAAATATAATGAGCACTAGTCTTTTATTGATTTTGAACTTCACAACAGTTTACGCTTTATAAAATGTTTAAGAGGGTCTTCTAACAATATATCCTCTGGCCATGATCAATTTGTGTGAGGTTCTTAGAGTTGTGGATATAGCATGACTATTTATCTGGATGAAAAAGCACTCAGATTTCTTGGTTAGATGTTTAGGAGGCTGTTTGATGTGCAGGGCTTGTCCTGGAATAAAGAAACAGGGGAAAATTCCTAAGAGAATCCGCAAGGCTGAGAGGGAGAGACGGAAGCGTGAGCAGTTTAATGAGCTTTTTCTTGAGCTGGCTGATGCCCTCGGTAACTTCTCTTTTATTTATGCGGACTTCACTATAATTTTGTTTTTGTCTGTAGTTCATCTTACATTGATAATTAGCTTCAGTGTTTGGTGTAATTTTTCTTTTTTATGATGGTGGGTCGTTCTTAATTTGAGATAACTCTTGTGCAGAACTGAATGAGCAGAACAGTGGAAAGGCCTCTATAGTAAGTGAAGCTACTCGACTGTTAAAGGACTTGTGTGGTCAGATTGAATGCTTACAGAAGGAAAATGCATCCCTGTTGTCTGAATCGAACTATGTAAGGCACCCGACATCTTTCTTCACCCCCTAAACATTTTGCTCGTTTAATGTTTATACAACATTTAGACTTTATATGTGTACTTGTTTATGTGGATATCTTAGCGAAGTTCCTACTTGTTAGAACCGAGAAACACTTCTACATCTAGTAGTGCATTCCTTTAATCCATCATATTTTCATGAAAGTTGTTTAAAAATTGAACAGATGACTCTCGAGAAGAATGAGCTGAGAGACGATAACTCTGCCTTAGAAACTCAGATTGAGAAATTGCAAAGTGAGATACAAGAGAGGGTGGCACAGTCTAAACCGGACCTGAATGCACCACCTCGCGCAGAATTGAGACCGGAAGTTCCCTCCCATTTTACCGGAAATTGCATCAGTTCGCCCACTCAAGAACCCAGCTTGCAGCAAGCACCTGCTGTCTTTGTTATACCCCTCTGCCCGGATCTCCAAGCTTATCCACTGCCGGATGCCACCCACCTGACATCTAACACCACCTCACATGTGAGCAAACCGCATGCTAGGTATCCAACCTCGGTGGATTCTTGGCCGTCCCAACTTCTCGGCGAGAATACAACCGCAGGCAAAGGATTTCGACAAAGTGGTGAAAACGACCCTAGTAATATGTAAACTTCGTAATCAAAATGGTTTATGTGCAATGCTTCACCATTATAATTGACAATGCCCCATATTTTGTAGTTAGTATATTTCAGAAATGAATGAAGAAATAGCGACGGTGTTCAGTTTACGGAATTTGGTATTCAATTTGTACGGAAATTTTATTATGTCTCGGGATATTTTATATTATGAGATTTTGAGCTTTTAGATTTTTATCATTGTATCTTTGATTGTTAGATCTTTGATCGCACGTTTAACGCTACATTTACCTAGTGCATAATATAGATCGGAGTATAATAGAATTTTTAATAAATCGGAGTTTTTTCGGACAATCTACTTTGAAAATCTATTAGACAACCTTTAACGCCCCCCATAAATCTGTACACAAGCATGCACTCTTTGATCAATCATTGTCCTTTGATTAAAGGGGACCACAGTAACTCCCATGAGCGCGACTCCACCCGATGGTTCCTCTTCAAAGCTTTAGCTTTTGCCACGTCACGTATTATTTGGTGGTGGTGTAAGTTGTTAACCACACTTGTCCGCTCCTCACTTTCCCTCCTCCAACCGATGCTTCGCACACAAACTGACAAAAAACTTAGCTTATTCCAGAAGCACTTTTTCCAGAAGCTCATAGTTTCGGTTCAGAGAGTGATAGAGTTGCTTTGAGAAATCCGGAGATGGGATCTGGCGCCGGCAGCTTCCTCAAAGTGCTTCTCAAGAACTTCGACGTTCTTGCTGGGTACACCCACACTCTCACTTTCTCACTTACTTTACCAAATTTTCCAAACCCAGCAAAAAAGTTTTGATCTTTTTCTTTTTCTTCTCTAATTTGATTTATGGGTTTTTTTTCTTCTTTTTTTTTTTTTTTTTTTGTTCTTGCAGGCCTGTGGTTAGCCTTGTTTATCCGCTGTAAGTTGGGTCCAAAGACAACTTTTTTTAGTTTTATTTTCCAGTTTTATCTATATTTTGCATTGTTTTTGTGCTTAATTTTAAGTTTTTTGTACTGGGAAGTTGAAATTTGGGTTGTTTTCGATAGATACGCATCGATTCGAGCGATAGAGACGCAGTCTCCGACCGACGATCGCCAATGGCTGACTTATTGGATTCTGTATTCCATGATTACTCTGATTGAACTCACCTTTGCCAAAGTCATTGAGTGGTAAATTATTTTCTACTTTCGAAATTTACTTCCTTTTTTACTTGTTTGCAATCCGGATTTGCATTGAATGTGCTTGCATTACGTTCGCTTAAGATATGAGATATTTCCCCGAAAATGTAGATTCGTTGTATGAGATCATTCGTTTAGTTTTCGGGGTGAAGATTTCGTCTTGCTGCATTTACATTCTTGAACTTGTATAGAAAAGTGGTTCCGATTGTGTGATGAACTTTTACTATTTTTTTACTTGTGCTTCAAGGAAGATTTATGAAGACTTATGTTTGAGTTTGCTAGGTTTGCGTTGTCTTGTCCGCCTTGTCGCGGCTGTAAACAGTTATCTTGCATTAGATTCAATTAACTCTCGAGCTGTTATGGTTCACGAATGATGTGCCGTTGCTGCATTTGATATAATTTTGTGTTTGTAATGTTATGATCTTTTCTGGCAGGATTCCAATCTGGTCGTACGCTAAGCTGATTGCGACTGGTTGGTTGGTCCTCCCGTACACAAATGGTGCTGCATACGTTTATGAACATTATATCCGGCCTTTCTTTCTCAATCCGCATAAAATTAACATTTGGTATGTTCCGAGGAAGAAGGCTGACCCAGACAACATTTTAGATGCTGCGGAGAAATACATTGCAGAGAATGGGACTGAAGCTTTCGAGAAGATCATCCAAAGGGTATGCTTATTAACCATAACATTTGAATAATTCGTTGTAATATACTTATAATGTTACATATCCCACTGAATATTTCCCAGGCATGCAATTATCAACAAATTTTTTTTCCGCAAGCCGGCTTAACGTGATCTTTCCGTTTCTGTAGGCTGATAACAACCAGAGGAGCGTGGGATCCGTCTATCATAGGGGATCTGTCTTTGATGAGGACCTTAGGTACTATCGAGAATATTAGTTGTGGTACGTTTCGTTGCATCTTGTCCTGCGGTGTTGTAGAGAAAGACAATGTTTCTGTTACCTTTTCCGTAGCTTATAGCGTATCTATATCTTTCGGTTTTGTCAAGGATACTGAATGTTCCTAGTTTATTAACATGTAGTTATCATGGTTCGACGACGTCATTTCTCCTTCTTTGTTTCTTAAATTCAGTTAGTCCATTTGCCTGGTTCTTAGGGTGCTCTAGAGTATAGGAGATTTCGTGATTTTCAACCGTTAGATCGTGGTTTTTGTGTTTTTGACTAGAGTTATTAGTATCCGGTACTCTGAAGCAGCATAGAAAACCCTGACATAAGTCGGGATTAAGCGGGATTAACCGTGAAACTCGAACATCCGGCGTGGCTTGAAACAATTTGAGCATAAGAAGCTCATCTCTTAAGCAGTTCAACACGATGCACAAACTAATAGTTGCTTATCAAACATCAAAAGTCGTCCAAAAGTACTTTCAAGAGAAGTTAGTTTATTTGACAAAAGCTAGAAGGCCTAGCACAATTCAGCACACATACGAGAGGGCATAAGTTGTTCATTTCCCGGACAGAGACCGCTAATTCATCGTCCCGTTTAGACGCTAGTTTGTAGCACAGGCAATGGCCTACAATGTTGGCCTCAAAACTCAATGACCGGTTTCTGTTTCGGATTCAGCTTCTGCTTCGGTTTCATCTTCGGCTTCACCGACGTTTAGCGTTTGGTAGAGGTACTCCTGCGCTTCAGCAAGTGGTGATTCTTTCGCATCAGCTGCGTACAATATCTTCTTTACCGCCACCGACATCTGCATGAAATTGACGATAAGTTGGTTAACCAGCTCAGTTAACAACATCCAACATTCATACACGGACGCGTAAACCTACTAAATCACTCAATTTCAAGAGAGGAAGGGGCAGAGGCAGAAAGCACAGGAGGAGGAGGACGGACGAACGGACGGACTTTTTCTAGTGAATACTAGCAAGAAATGCCAGCCTAACAGAAAAGGTAAAAGACATAACCTAGCTCCCTAAGAAAAGAAAACCCAAGTCTAGAGTGCTCATAGTCTCCGGCAAATACAAACTTCTTTAGTCAGCTTTAGAAAAGGAGATTTGACAAGGAGGCATGATAACGGGGAAAGAAATATACATCGTACGAATACCGTGCAAGGACGTGATTGTATACATTGATTACAAAACCATAAGTCATATATGAAAAACATGGCAGAAATTCATACCGGGATATCCTCCAACTCCGATGTCTGACAAAGAATTTCAATGTCCCTTAATTTTGCAAAGTAAAAGTCCCTTTCTTTTTCCAAAAGGTCCACAGATAGCTTGAGATCTGTAATCTGTAAAACAGAAGTATCGAATGAAAACTATTAGGAATCAGACAGAATTACGAAGCAAGATGAATAATTCCACAGGCAAAGCCAGATACTAGGAGAGGAATGATTTTCTTCGGACAAGGCAAGATACTGATACCTCCTTAGACAAAGCCTGAACTTCTGAAGAATTGGCACCGGCTGCAGCTGCATAAGGTCTCCCTTGCTTTGGTCCTAAAGAAATAAGCATCAAGCAATGAGAAGCACTCTTAGGTCTTAAGAATTAATCAAAAGGAGTAGAAATAAAATTTTCGGTGTTTGGGGGGGGGGGGGGGGGGGGGGGGGTGGGGAAGGGGATCTGACCTGAGGTCTTATTAAGACCAACTGTATCTCCAGAGCCAGGGTTATGTAAATTGCTTGATTGCAGAGATTTTGAGATTTTCTGAGCACCTTTGGGATGCCGATCCTTCCCACCCTTACTCCTTCGCTCCACAGGGTTATAGTTTCTACAAGGAGAAAAAAATGTGAGTAAGAAAAAGGGCATTGATGTAATACCAACAGACACAAACCCAAAGCTTTGAAAGGAGAGGAGAATGTTAGAAAAACAAGCATACTCATTCATAATGCCACCATTTACGGAATCACAGTAACGTTTCAGCCATTGCAAGAATTCCAAGTTGTCCAAAGGCCTGCCTTTGACAAGCCTATTGACTTCAAGATGCTGCACAAGTATTGAGAACAGTAAGAATACAAACATCTTGGTTGTTCTTGTTCGAAAGATTACCTCCGTCTGGTTTCCTGACTCACCTATATTAAAGTTTGCAATATCACAAACAATCCCAAGTCATGGAACCATACTGGAATAAAGAATTACAGTAGAGGTACATCTCAATCTTACTCTTTGATCATTAATACCAAAGAATCGCAACACATGTAAATGCTGGCGTTGTCCTAGCAAACTGGTAATGCAGAGTGATACTTGCTTTTTCCTAATAGCCCAAATAATGTTAAGACCAACCAACTCGTAAAGGTACCACAAATGAGTGGGAGACAATTTAGATCAAACAACACCATAGCATGGTATGGACCTACGAAACCTTATGAACAGTTCCAAGACATAAAGAATTCATTCAATTCATTCCAGCACCTATATCATAAGTTTTCATCTATACAAGATAAAAGTATTCCCATATGTGGTGAAGATCAATACAAGCCCTACAAACAGAATTTTGATTTGGATAGTTCTTTATTCTAAAAGTGAGTGCATGTATTGGAGGTTTTTGTAAATAACTTTCAAAATAAGGTTATTCCTCAAAAGCCAATTATGAAAAAAAGACAAGGAGTGGAGGAGCATCGTAATGAAAATACCTTTGCAATTTTTAATTTGTTGAATACTTCCTGTAGAACCTTATAATTCTGGATCATATCATATTCTGTTTTCGCATCAAAATTGACCTGCAATAAACCAAATAGAAGGAAATCGAAGGGGGTGCCAGTCCGGCAACAAAAATGTTAATCCCACCACAATGTGCTGATCAAATAAATAAAAGATGCAGAGGCACGCAGATACCTTGTGCATTGGAACAACACCAGGATAGGTCATATCCATCATTTGACATTGTACAGCACCAGATGCAGCCTAGCCACATTTGTTTGCACGGTTATGATTACAAGAAGTTTAGTGTTCGTTTCAAATGAAGAAAACTTAAAGGACCAAAATCGCACAATGTGACGTATATCCTAGGGAACAAACCAATGAATGCCAATCACAATTTAATTGTCACTGCAAAAGCTGCTTTAGTACCATCCTTCCATGTTACGATGAGTACAGAACTGCCATAAATTATTCAAAAGGCGAAACTCTGAGTTGAGTTCAAGACAAGGGTTAATGATGTTAAAGATTTAGACGTGAGACCGGGCTCACCCCATACACAGCTCAACCAGCAGTAGTATACTACTTCCTATCACTTAATTTGTGAAACACAACAGAAACCCACACTGCAGTGTCACCTCTGATCAAATAGGTCAACAAAATTACACAGGTTGCCAACTCCTAAGTAGCACAATTAACAAACTTTCATATTTCAAAGCAGATAAAGAATTCAACTTTCCAATCATAAACACAATTAGTTCAGTTGGGTCATACATTAACTTCCATTTACGAATTAATGCACCCAATTCTAGTGGATTAAAAAAAAAAAAAAAAAGGAACCCAGAAAGAATTTCACAAACTGAACAAATGGGTAATGCTCAGACAGACAAACCCAAGATCAAGATCGTTCTTTTCAACACCGAAATTCTCAAAAATCCCAAAAAAATCACCAAAAAAGGATAGAAAGAGAGAACCTCTTCAATGCGAGAGAGATTCAGCTGAAGGCGATTGTTGATCCACGTCAAAATCTCATTTCTCCCAACAAAGTAAGCACTGTCCATAATCCCAATGTTGGAAGCCATTTTTCTTCCCCCAGATTTTTCCCAATTCTTCCACAATTTTTACAGACCCAGAGACACAGAAAGGAGATAAGAAAATGCCAAAATAGAGTCGGAGAAGAAACAAACCTTGTTTAAGTATTTAAACCGATGAGGATTAGGGTGTAATCGGCATTTCGAGAAAAAAAAATTCAAACAAAAAATCGAAAAAAAAAAAAAGGAATGTGGAAATTGTGAGAGACTGATGGAAGATGGAAATTGAATGGTGAGAAAGAAGAGAGAAAAAGAAACGGAATTGGAAATTTGCACGACTGGCGGGCACTGAAATGAGGGAACTTATTTGATACCCTTGGCAAATCCAAGCGTGCGAAGAGGAGAGAGGGTTTTATTTTCTTTTTATATTAGTTTAGCTTTATCCCTTTTTTTTTATTAGCTTATTCCCTTTTATTTTATCTTGTTTTTTTCTAGATTTTTTTATATTTTAGTGGTTGATGAGAATTGTTTATTGTTTGATGCCTCGTGGGATTGATGGTGACTTTTTTCACGAGCATCATTAGTTGTAGAACACCATGGGTGGAAATAGGAGCTGATGTTGAATTTGCAGCAATCAAGTAAGTAGTGATCTAATTATATCGTCTTGTAATTGTCACGTTAATGTCTTATGTAAAATTTAGTCCCAAAATAGTGTGGTAGGAATGCGAAACAAATGAAAAATGTTGCATGAATTAAAAATCATCATTTTGACATTTGTTTCAGGAAGATCAAAATTTTAAACCAAATTTAGTGTTGAATAAGAAGAGTATCCAAGATAACTCTAATGATCCCAATTTAGGGAGTTCTCGGCCAGGGGGAGCTCCGAAGTATCACGGCAACCGTGGTCAGTCCCAGAATAATAAAAGATTTGTGAACAAGTCCGCAACTTGATCATTCGTCTTGACCTGTCTCATCTCAATCTCTTCTTGCAGAACCTTTTCTCCACTTCCACCAGGATGTAGATGTATATAGGAATTGTAATGGCAAGTGACAGTGCGGATGCGGCAATGTCCTTCACGCGTCTTCTGAAAAGCCGGGAGCTTTTGACAAAGTTGCACTCGCTTTCTGGAAAGCCGGGAGCTTTCGGCTTTGTCTCCCACACTTGTCGGCAAAAGTGTGCAGCTGATTTCTCGCCTTCCACGCGTCTTCTGATTCGGTGAACGCCTCTCCTTTAATAGAGGTGATCGATCACCTCTATCAATGCACACTTTGAAGACTTCCCAAACATCATCTTCGGCCCGTCGAGATTTTCCTTCATCCAACCCTTCTCTTTAAACTCTTTGAAAAATGGCTAGCTCATACAACCCATCGAACATTTGCTTAGATTTGAGTCTAAGCAGTGATCCGGTCGCGCCGCGTCAGGATAAGGTATGGTGCCCGTCTTTCTTATCTTCTCATGACCCCCTTACAGGTGAGGACTCTGTGATGACGGATGCAACAATGGCTACGATAGTAGCTCGGAACCTCCTCACTCCCAAAGATAGTCAGCTGCTTTCAGGACGGTCTGATGAGTTGGCCGTTCAAGAGTCCCTGGCTCTCAGTGTTCAGTGCGCTGGCTCTGTGTCCAACATGGGCCAACGCCTTCTTGCTCACTCCCGTCAGGTTGAATCATTGATGGCGGAGGTGGAGAGTCTTAAGCAGGAGATCAAACAGCTTAAGCACGAGAATCGAAGTTTGCACGTGCTTGCCAACAATTATTCGACAGGTATGAAGAGGAAGCTTGATGAGCTTGATGACCGTCAAAGGCTTGCGGCTTTCTTCCAGAGGCACCTCTTTCCTGGGTCATCCAGCGTTCCACTAAGGTTTAGGGCCTTGAATGATCTATCTTTGGTGTCTCCCGCTCCGATGCCTTCCGCTCCGATGCCTCTTGTTCCGATGCCTCTTGCTCCGATGTCTTCCGCTCCGATGCCTCTTGCTCCGATGCCTCCTGCTCCGATGCCTCCTGCTCTGAGAGTGTTGCCACGTAGTGGGGCCTCACGTACACAACCCTTGTGAAGGCTCCACCTTTCTCTTTCTTTGTTATATACATTTGTAATTTCTTGAAAATTAATGAACAAGCTTTGTTTTATTCAGTGCATTGGGTTGCCTCCCAAGTAGCGTTTTCTTTTACGTCTTGCAGCCGGACGAAGCCTTCTTAGGCTCAATTGGAACCCACGGCATAGAATTTATCTTTGAATGGGGGTTGGATATTATGCTCCCGCATCTTCTGTTGCAGCTTTTCTCCAATTCTCTGGAGTCTGGTAGCACTTCCTTCTCTGAGGACCACCAAGAAGATGCTTCATCAAACACCACATCTCGTGAAGTGTAACATCTTCCACTTGTTGGATCGCAACATTTCCGTCCCTTTCTCTGGTTGTCGTATCCCACAAAGATACATCTAACAGCTTTCTTGTCAAATTTGCTTCGTAAATGATCAGGAACAAATACATAACATACACAGCCAAATACTCGAAAATAGCTAACTGTAGGTTTCATGTTCCACAGATTCTCAAAGGGAGAAACAAATCCTAACCTTGGTTGAGGAAGTCTGTTGATCACAAATGCTGCAGTCCTCATTGCTTCAGCCCAAAACCTTCCCGGTACGTTCTTTGCATGTAGCATACTTCGACAGACTTCTACAAGATGCCGGTTCTTTCTCTCAGCTACACCATTTTGTTGTGGTGTGTTGGCACAAGTGTACTGATGACGTATTCGACATTCCCTTAGGTATTGAGAGAACTTACTTGAGCTATATTCTCCCCCGTTATCTGTGCGCAGGCAACGGATCTTCTTTCCCATTTCTCCTTCGGCTGACTCTCTGAACTCTTTAAACTTTGAGAATGTGTCAGATTTTTCTTTCATAAAAAAGACCCACACATACCTTGAGAAGTCATCAATGAATGTTACCATGTACCGCATACCACCAACGGACGGTTGCTTAACTGGTCCAAACACATTAGAGTGAACTAACTCTAATGGTTCTTTTGCTTTAAACTTCGATTCCTCATATGGCAATTGGTGTGCTTTACCATACTGGCATCATGCACATACTGTGTCTGTTCGCACGTCCAGTTGAGGAAGCCCCTTAAGTATCGACTTTTTCACCATCACACTTAGCTTGGAATAGCTAACGTGACCTAACCGCATGTGCCATAGATCTGATGTCTCATTTTTCCTTGTCTTGTCTACATATGCAGATTCTGCTGACATTACGTAGACTGACTCCAATCGTCGCCCCTCCATTGTTGGTGTTTCTGAGATTTTGAGGTCAAGATACACCTTCACATCTCGTGGACCGAATAAGACATGGTGGCCCGATGATGTCAATTAAGCCACAGATAGCAAATTTTTCTTCATTCCTGGGACATGATAAACATCTTGAAGTGGCACCTGGTTAGAATTATATCGAGACTTAACTATTGTCTTACCGATGTGAGCTATCGGTAACCTTGAGTTGTCGGCTGTCACCACCACAAGACCTCCCTTGTATTCAGATAGATTTTGCAGCTTCTGTTTATCACCCGTCATATGATTTGAGCAGCCCGAATCTACGATCCAATCATTTTTGTAGTCAATGCGTTCTGGTGTTGTTACCGTGAGGGCTAATTCTTCTTCTTCCTCCGTAGTGAATAATGCTTCAGCATCCCAGCCATCTTCACTATTCTCCTTCGAACTGAAAGTAGCAGTATTACTTTCAACAGGCTCTTTCTTGGTCCAACAATCTTTCGCCATGTGGCCCATCTTCCCGCAGTTGTAACACTTGCCACTAAACTTTTTACTATTACCGCGATTCTTCCAATCTCCCCCTGGACAAGAGCCTCCATTTTCTTGGTGACTTTGCACCTTTTCTCCATCCTTTTTAGATCCACTACCAGTGTACCGCTTGAAGGTGCCTTTGCTTTTGTTGGTGTAGAGCGCTTCCTCTTCACTCTTCAGTGAGACTCCTCCCATTTGCTTAGCCATAGCTTCTTGACTTGCAAGCAAATTTTCAAACTCAACAAGCGATGGTTGTGTTGGCTATCCTTGTATAGCGGCAATGAACCCTCGATATTCGGGTCTTAAACCATGGATAATTATTCTCTTCATCCTAGTTTCCCCAATATGAGCTGTTGGATCTAATTCTGAAATTTCGCAGCATATTGACTTCACCTTGTGAAAGTACTGGGCAATCGTCATGTCGCGTTGTACCATCGATAGCAGCTCATTCTCGAGAAGTTGCAATTTTGTATCGTTCCTCTTCGAAAAGAGTGTAACAAAAGTGTCTCATGCTTCCTTTGGCGTTTTAGCATCCCGAATGTGCTCCAACATTTCTTCTTCTATTGTGGTCTTTAAAGCAAACATTGATTTGCCTGCTTTAATTTTCCACTTCCGCAAGACGTCGTTAGCATCTTCCGCTGCCGGTTGTGTAGCTTCACTACCACCGACAACCTCCCACAAGTCTTGACCTTGAAGGTAAGAATCTATACACGTTGCCCACGTGTTATAGTTTTGGTTGTTGAGCTTCTTGATTCCTCCAACAACTTGAAGATCACCCATAGTATCGGCAAGACTTTGACTACACCGAACAAGCTTGAGTGACTACCGTGCAGAGTAATACACTACTCTCGACACAAAGAAGCTCACTCTCAAGGTTTGTGATAACCCCAGCAATAATCTCAAGAACTCTTTTCTGATGTGGAAGATCAGTCAAAACTGCAACCACAGAGCATACTCGAATTTCAAGAGACTTTACAACCAATGCTCTACCAAGAACGATCCCTGACCGACTTGGCTCCTGATACCAATTGTTGAATAAGAAGAGTATCCAAGATAACTCTAATGATCCCAAGAAGAAGAAAATAGAGCACACTCTTAAAGAAAGCTCACAAAACAAACTAATTAGCAAAATTTTTCTTATTTAGCTCTAGACTTTGTTTTTCCTTGAATGATATACAATGCTTGGGGACTTGGGTATTTATAGCAAACCAAATGAAAGCTACACCACACACTTACTTCACCTACAACATCCACCTAATTCACCTACAACATCCACCTACTTCACCTACAACATCCACTTACTTCACCAACCTCACACACTTACTTCACCTACCTCACACACTTACTTCACCTACAAATGACATTGATTCTCAACATTTAGTAGTTGATGATTGAATTATTAATTAAATGTTGATTAACGTATTAATTTTCTACTGGTGACACATCATTTAATTTGTAAATTTGATTTAAAATTTTGATCTCCCCAGCATTATTCTATTACTTTTGTAAGTTAATAATCAATAAGGCTGTGTGTATAATTTAAAGTTTTGGGTCTGTTTTGGGTCTTCATTTGGGGAAAGGATCTTTGCGGGATCTTTTCTTAGGGATCCTAGGGATCTCATAATCTCATCTGTTCATCGTATATCGTACGATTAGAAATCATTTCAAAATTTAAAATTAAATATGAATAGTACCTAATGAAAACTGACTGCACGATATACGATGAACAAGTGAGATTACAGAATCCCTAGGAAAGGGTTCCTCTCCTGAGCTCAGGATGAGGATACTCCTAACCATCTCATCTGGGCCGTTCAAATTTAATCCAACGGCTCCAAATAAGAGGGCCCTCTAAAAGTTATATAATTACAACCGTTGAATTAAGTTTGAACGGTTCAGATTGGCTGGTCAGGAGGATCTACATCCTGAGCTCAGGAGAGGACCATTTGTCCAAAATTGATGATGGCCTGCAAAAGTGAGAGAGCAAGACAGCGATTGAGATTTTGATATTACTTGTTATTTAATTGAAAATTGGAATTGGAATTGGCAATTGGGTGGAATTGTTCATTCAAAAGGCATCTCTCCTGTGTGCAAGCAATGCTCGAAAGTAAGCCTGCCGTCCAATCTGTTTCCCCAACTTTAAGTTTTTCTTATTCTATTTCATCGAAGAAAGAGGCATGCTCCCGGACTGCTTTTACAACGGTTAAAAACGCTCTTAGATGATCAAAACTGTTGCTTATAGTGTTGGTCATAAATAACTAAGTGTTTCCATTTTCTGAATGTCTTTTTGGTATTCTCCGAATAGGACAAATCATGTTGATACAAATAAAGCACAAATAACAAATGTTTCGTACATAAGCAATTCCACACAGACTAACATGGCAAACTAGAAGTAAAAAAACATAACGTCTCGTACTTTTTTAGACAGATTGCATGCACATATATGTATGTAAAATCCACGAAATCCATTGAGAAATGATAGATATTGTGGGTGCCTTGGATATCATATTACACAACACACACACACACACACACACACACACACACGTTTCCCCAGCCAACTCTTGGTGGTTGCAAGTTTTGCAACCTTTATAGCTTTCGTCGGTTTCACCTATCTTTCATATTATGAATGGATAGCGTTAATTACGCTTTTTTTTTATTACCTTTTATACACATTTGTTAATTTGTGGTCATTGATCTTCTTCAATTCATTCAATCTGACGGCCGAAAATTGAGAAGAACATATGAAAAGTAAAAACAGGTGGAAAGAGACAACCTTCCCCTTCTTTATGGGTTGAGGAATTGAGGTATAAAAAAAAATAAAAAATAAGAAAAGGTAAATTGCCATTGACCCCTTGAATTATCACGTAAGTTGAAATTGACCTCCAAAATTAAAATTATCCATTTTATCATCGATTGAGTAAAATTAAAAGAAATGTGGACAAATTTAGGATTGTTATTGATGGGACTAAAAATGGTTTATACCAACTAAAAATTCTTTTAGCTAGGTTTGGCGGAAAAACTTAAAAGTACTTATAGAAGCCTTTGGTAAAGCAGCAAAGAAGCATTCACAAGAATCCACAACTACATTCAACGTGCTTCTAATAAAAGCAGTTCTAACACAAGTGCTTACCCCAAAAGCAGTTCCAAATGAGAGATTGATGAATTCTAATGGGTTGGGCATAACAAAAAAGCTGGGTTTGGTCTGTAGGCCCAAAAGTAGAAATGGATCGTCTTATAAAATATGGGTCAATCCATCTAACGAAAGCAAGCAATTTGATATCACTCGAAGCCAGTCTTACTCTCTTAAGGTCCTCATTCTGAGGATTTATAAGGATCAAATGCATATTAACCACTAGCTTATATTAATTCAGATTCAAAAGTTTAAAATATATGACAACTTAATAAAGTAAAATCAACTTAAAATTCCTAAATCATCTTATTTTTCTTTATTAGGTTGTCAAATATTTTAAACCTTTAGATACAAATTAATATAATCATGTGGTTAATATGCATTTGGTTCTGTCCTCCAAATGAATACCTTAGCAGACCAGGCCTCGACTCGACGCTAGGTTAGCCAGCCAACAACTTCACTAGGGTTTTTGAGCTTCACTTTCTTTATAGACAGAGCTTAGAAAAATTAGCTTTTATTTCCAACGAAGCACAAGGACGACTGGCGTCGTCGTAGCACAGCCATGTTTCACGTCTCCTTCTACCGAAACTCTAATCCCTCTCGCTTTCTCTGATGTTTAATCCCATATATACACACACACATATACACGCCCGCGCGGGCGCGCATGTGTGTATATATATATATTCTCTGATACTTATTATAACGAGATCATTGAGAAACTTTTGTTGTTCCTGACGTGGGATTTACATTTTCAGGGTTAAATGATTTACATTTCAAAGTCCGAAACAATGCCAGGGAGCTTCTGACCCTTGATGAGAAGAACCCTCGTCGGATTTTTGAGGTTGAGGCTCTCCTCAGGAGGATGAACCCTTTTGGACGAGGGGCAGAACAAGCTCGATTATGTCTTGGCTTTGGATGTCGAGAACTTCCTCGAACGCCGCCTGCAGACGATTGTGTTCAAGACCGGTATGGCGAAGTCCATCCATCATGCTCATGTGCTCATCAGGCAGAGGCATATCAGGTAAACTTATTTCTTATGGTGCTTTTATTTGATTTGGTGCTATTGGTCTAAAATCACTGAAGCAATGTGATTATATGATCAATCTCAAGTGAATGCGTAGTAATGTCCGGGAAAATACGGATATTTTAGTGCATCACGCTTACGAATTTACATTTCATGTGAAAGTATTAATTCTACTGAAAGGTGTTCTATTTGCTCGTACTTCATGTTTGATCTAGAAACAAATAGAAGTACTTGATAAATGGTTTGTTATTATACCAACAATTTGTCGTGCCGGATTGTTGATTTTTCGGAGAAAGGAAAAACTTGGAGCTAATTATGTTATAGAGTTGAACGGAGGAGTCTATCGTTTTGATGATTCGATATCTGTTGTACTTCATGTTTTATTTCGATTTCTGCTAGTAGAGAAGATGCTCTAGTGATTGAATGGATCACATTGTTTACATATTATATAACACCAACCATTGTTTCGGTTGCTTGAGCTGCAAGGTGAACATTCATCCTCACTATGCCTTGTTTTTTTATTGTGGACAGAGTTGGGAGGCAAGTGGTGAACATTCCCTCATTCCTGGTGAGATGTGACTCCGAGAAGCACGTCGATTTCTCGCTTGCAAGCCCGTTAGGCGGCGGACGCCCTGGCAGAGTGAAGCGAAGGAACACGAAGGCGGCTGCTGGCGGAGACGCAGACGAAGAGGATGAAGATTGAATAACACCAGTGATCACCCTCGCAATCGCCACCGTCATCCACCACTCCACTACCGAGTCACCCGCCGAGTCCCAACCCCAATCTCTCTCCAAATAGGCCGAGTCTACCATCAAAACCGTCTGCAACGTAACTCGGTACCCCGCCTCGTGCTTTACCTCCATATCCGCCCCCAACCGCTCTCCAAATCCCGACCCAGAAGCCATTTTCAAGCTCTCCCTCGAAATCTCCGCTGCCGAGCTCACCCGCCTCTCGGCGCTGTTCATGACCGTGAACTCCGATGTGGCGACCCAGGACTGCGTTTCTCAGCTGGGGGAAGCGATGAACCGGGTCAACGACTCGGCGTCGGCGATGAGGGTGGGCCCGGGAGAGAAGGCGTTGACCGGAGATAAAGTCAGCGACATACAGACGTGGATAAGCAGCGCGGTGACGGATCAGGGGACGTGCTTGGATGGTTTGGAGGAGACGGGATCGACGGCTGTGGATGCGGTGAAGCGAGATGAAGAAGTCAACGGGTACAGCAGGGCAATTGTGGCCAACTTTAAGGGAATTCTATTATTCTAGACAAGTTCAATATTCCCCTCCACTAATTATTTTTAATTAAACAACTGTTATCAGAATTTCAAAAATCGCGTTCTACATTGTAATTTTTTTTGTCAATTATAAAATTTTTAGAGTACAAAATAAGATTTTTAGAATGTCAATAACAATTGCCTAAAGTAATTGTATAAACAAAAAAAAAATGAGAGGTGTTAAGTGTTTTTCGTTTGATTTTTCTTCTTCAATTATAAATGAAGTTTTTTTGTTGTATGATTTGTGTTTTTCATTTATTGATATATTTGCACTTGCTCAGTTGTGAAATTTGAACGTATGTATGAACAAAATGTAAATATTTAGATCCAACGGTCTGATGATATTCCTCTTCGCTTAGAAATGAGAGGTCTTAGGTTCGAATCTCGTGGATGTCGAATTCGATACCAAATTAAACCGCCCATTACATAAATTAGCCAAACTCTCCCTCCGTGTACTAAAAAAAAAAAAAAAAAAAAACCTCTTTAGGAATTAATTCTGATATAAGTCGTTAATAATCTTATGCTTTTAATAAGGTAGGTTCTCTCCATTGCGGGATTGGGAGTCGTAGTGTGACTGCTACTTCTATTTCTCTTTGTTGGTTTCAATAAATTACTATCTTCTTAATAAGGGAGATTATATTCACACATCCCAAATTATTTCTATTACACCTTTTTAATTTTTTAATATTTTTCTATCAAGTATTAGTGGTGTGTAAAAAATATTAAAAAATTAAAAAGGTGTGAGAGAAGTAATTTGAGGTGTGTGAATATAATATCTCTCCCAAAAAGTGTTTCTATTCCTATTGTGTGAGCTGTCACTCTTTGTGATGACTTAAGTTTGTTATTTTGAAAAAAAAAATACCAAGATATTTGGGTGGAAGCGGGATTCTAAGGTCATCTCCAACCGAAGGGTCCAGAGGGCCAGAGGGCTGAATTGCCTGAAAACCATCTCCAACCGATGGTTAAGCTAAAGGGATCGTGGTCCCCACGGAATCTGAAAAGGGTAAAGGGCCAATCGGCTGGGCCAAAATTTTGATTATCCTATCGGATTTCTTGTCGAATATAACTGACAGTAATAGTATTTATTCCTGTCGGATATAACCGACAGGAATGGTTGCCAAAATTTGAAATTCAACGGCTAGTTACCGTTGGATTCAAATGTTTTTTTTTTTGGCCAAATTTTAGTTTATGAAATTTAAAAATTCCTTTTTTTTTTTTCCCTAAGCCATTCCTACATCATTTAAAATTTTAAATTATGCCTTGGTTTATGAAATTTAAAAATTCCTTTTTTTTTTTTTTTTTTTCAAGCAATACCTAAGTCATTCCTACATCATTTCTCACATAATTTTCACCATTCCATACTATCTCACTTTATTCTATTTCAATTCTTCACATTATATTTTCTTACCTCTTCCAATAATCTTTCCTTCAATTTTTTTCAATAACATTAAACAATATCAAACTACATTGAATAACATTACACAATATAAAAATTATACAACATAAAAAATAAAATAAAAACATTGCATATGGCCCTTAGTTGGAGACGGTTTTTTTGTGACATGGCTAAAATGAGCCCTATAGCCTTTTGGCCCTTGGTTGCAGATGGAAGCAAATATGGCATGTACTATTCATTAAAATATTAATATCTTGGAGGGCCAGATAACTAAAACGAGCCATCTGGCAAGCCCTCAGTTAGAGATGGCCTAAGTTGGTGATTAACGATGTCACAAATATATGTAAGACTTCAGAAGACTTTGACGTCAATGAGAGCAACTCCACCCCTAAAAAAAAGCGCTAGCATCCAGCCCATTTAATCCACTTAGTGAATAATAGTAGACCTCAATGAATAGTAATAGGCCAAATGCATCTCCACTCCTAAAAAATGCGTTGGCACAAAGTATAAAAAATGCGCGCAGCACAAACGATCTCCAACCCGACAAAATGCGCTGGCACCCAGTCCATTTAAAATATTATTAATTTTTTTATAAAATAATAAAGAAATTACCCAAAGTACTAATAAGAAATAAGAAATTACATCTATTAATAAAAATAAATAAGAAATTACATAAAGTACTAAAAATAAAGACGAAATTGCATAAAGTACTAAGAATTAAGACGAAATTAAATAAAATACTACAAATAAATACGAAATTATACAAAGCCTGTGGAGCTAGGATATGTGTAGCTAGAAACCCCTCGACTTGTTTCCACATCTCTTGCACGCCTCCTTTGCACCACGTCTCTTTTTTCCGAAGTCCAAAAATATTTTGAATTCGGAGACAATCCTACTAGAGGCTTGTTCATAATGTCACAATCTACTTGAGCCATCATTTCTTCTCTAAGCATCTTATTTTCTCAATTAAGTGCTTCTCTAATCATCTCGTTCTCTCGATTAAGTATTTCTTTTTGTCTCTCAGTCGCCACATCACGTCTCTTAGTAACTGCTAATATTGCTACCATAGCAGCAGCTTTTTCTTCATCTCTAGCTGCTTCTCGCACCATGTTCAATTCACCTTGGCTAGCAAGTTCGTCCATATATTTAGTGTAGTTATTTTTGGAAGAACTACCTTTTTTCTTTGATGTCTTTTTACCTTGAGGCCTGAGGGACTGACGAGTCAGTTGGGTCTCTGGCACTTCTTCAGGCGTCCTTTCTGTCTCTTCAAATATGTCGCCTTCTTGGTCGGCTGTGTCTGCCTTTGGCGAACTATGTAGACCCACGCCATGCATGACAACTTCTAGATCGGTTGCCACAATTCTATATCTGGGGCAATCTTTGACAATTTACCAACATACCCATTTGCTAAATGATTTGTTGTGGTTCTTCAAATTGTAGAATGCTTGTGCTTGTAGTGTCTATAAATGTGGGATAAGACAGTATTATAAAATGTAGGTGTAACACAAATAAATAAATTAAAATATTGATGCGGGTGGAATACATATAAATAAATAAAATATTATCACCTGATCTGCTAAACTTATCCCATTATGCAGATTACCGGAAACATGAGAGAGGGCGTTTTTCCAACAAGTAAAGGATGTGGTGATTTTTTTCCAACGACCTTGACTACTTCTGGCGTCTTTTCCATGTACATCACAAAACCCTTTCGTAATTTTACTCCACATTTCTCGCTTGTCCATCTCATTACTCGTAATCGAGTCATGGGTAGTGTGAACCCAGCATTCACACAACGTAACATCTTCAATGAGTTTCCACGTAATCATTTTTTTCTCTCAAAAGTTATATGAAAGCTTTGGTAGAAAGTGTTGACAATATTGAAATGTGATGTAAGCTGGAAGATGAGGGTTAGGTATTTATAGAAAAAATAAATAAAATATTTATATTTTTATGCATTTTTTAACAATTTTTAATTAATTTTTTTATAAATTTTAATTTAGATAATTAATCTAGACCGTTGGATTTGAAAAAGATTTAAATCCAACAGCCTAAACGTTGACACGTGGCCAACGGTCATAATTCTGACCGTTGTGTTTTTTTTTTTTTAATTTTTGGAGGGAAAAATGTGGATTATTGATCTCTGGATCGGACGGTTCAGATCAAGCCACATCACTAGCTGTTGGATGTCAAATTCAAAATTTTTTGACTGTTGGAAATCCAACGGCCTAGAAACGAACACTTAACCTCCCCATCTGATCCCTAAGTGCGCCTACGCTGGCAGGCCACCCTTACCTTTTGTTGTTGGGACGCGCAGCCACGCGCGCGTGTATTGCACGTGTCTAGCGCAAAAAAAAAAAATTGAACTGGCCTGCGACGTCATGCTAGCGTCAGCATGACGTCAAGTGGACCGTCCCATAGCTCAGTCCATTTTGGACTAGCCTGGAGACCAGCTTGGACTTTGTGCCATCCTATCCACTAGGCTGGAGCGGATTGCCTTGGTGCCAGGCTAAAAAGTCCCCGATGGACTTACTTTGAAGGAACACTAAAATTTTAGTTTATATACAACTTATTACCAGTTTAATGTTCCAACTGTATTTTAATTTTAAAATTTTTAACATTTGTACCAAATTATGGAGTTATCTAACAGTAATAACCAGAATATACCATTTCAACCTTATACTCCCCTGATTGAAACAGGTTCAGATCCATTTTAGCGACAACACAACATGGTGATTGCTTTCATTTTCTTGTTTTCACTCCTAATCATTGAATGATTGATTTATAATACTATATATTGTAAATCCAAGACATTGCTTCTGGTCAGTATATTGCAGCAAATCACGATATATGTGGGACCAAAAATTATTTTAATATTTAGTTTGGAGCTAGATCAATGACTAGACACCATTTTAACAACACAAAAGATATCAGAAGGTACACTGAGGATTACAAACATATATATATATATATGCATTCCTCATATATATATAATCTCTCACTGGTTGGATAGTCCAACCAAAACTTATTTCATGTAATTAAAATTGCAAGCCCAGGGAGAGAGAGAGAGAGAGAGAGAGAGATTATTAATGCTGCAAAAGTCTTCTAATAAGCTCTTCATCAACATCAGAGATGTCTGCAGAATCCAGGAGTTGAGATATTCTTTGGCTCAGATCTTCCACCTCCCTATGCAGCCTCTTTATGTAACTGCAAGTTTCTTCCAAAATGCTCGATGCCGATACCTGCGTAAAATTTGAAGCCATCAGAATACCATTTGTGATAAAAACCCTAAATATAGAAAACTCGCAATAGTTTGCTTTAGTTACAAATGCATGCATGACTATCTCCCTAAGCGTGTACCGGAGCATTACGCGTATGATGAAGCTGAGGAAGAAGAGGTTGTAATTTTGAGATGAGCTCCTTAATCTCATCATCTGAGGGTTTAGAAGTTCTTGATGATGATGATGATGATCTTCTGCTTGACATGGCTGGTTGAAGAAGCACTTTTGCTTATTGCTTATAGCTTTTAGCTTCTTTACACTATCAAATGGTTGGAGGGATGTTTTAAGTACGAGGCCAAAGCTGCTTAAAAAGAGAGTGGGAAAGCAAGGTGGAGACACAAATCTTTTTAGTATGGGAAAGCGAGGTCGAGACACAAATCCAAATCTTATTAGTAAGAATAAGCCAAGGTTCTAAAAACCACTAGCGCTAGTCGAGCAGCATACAAGAGCCTAGACATTTTTTTATTTTAATTTTATTTATTATATAATAATAATAACATATAAATAAGTGACTGCAATTGATTGAATAGAGGCTTCACCAATAACCTAAACTCCTAAGCTCTACCCGGAGCGCCCGACCTTTGCTTAGCGCCTATTGTGACATCCCACATCGCCCATGGGAGTGATCCTTATATGCATATTCTCATCCCTACCTAGCACGAGGCTTTTTGGGAGTTCACTGGTATCGGGTTCCGTATGAACTCCGAAGTTAAGCGAGTAGCGTGCGATAGCACTCCCAGGATGGGTGACCCATTGGGAAGTTCTCGTGTGAGTTCCCAAAAACAAAACCGTGAGGTCGTGGTCGGGGCCCAAAGCGGATAGTATCGTGCTACGGTGGTGGAGCAGACCCGAGAGGTGGTCCTCCCCGGGGCGGGATGTGACAATTCACCCACCCCCCTTAGGGGCCCGACACCCTCACGGTTTTGTTTTTGGAACTCACGCGAGAGCATTCCCAGGATGGGGCCCAAAGCGGACAATATCGTGCTACGGTGGAGTCGGGCCCGGGAAGTGGTCCCACCCGGGTCGAGATATGACAATTTGGTATTATAGCCTAACCCTGGTCGCGTGTGTGCCGACGAGGACGTCGGGCCCCAAAGAGGGGTGGATTGTGACATCCCACATCGCTCAGGGGAATGATCCTTATATGTATATTCCCATCCCTACCTAGCACGAGGCCTTTTGGGAGCTCACTAGCTTCGGGTTCCATCGGAACTTCGAAGTTAAGTGAGTAGCGCACGAGAGCACTTCCAGGATGGGTGACCCACTGGGAAGTTTTTGTGTGAGTTCCCAAAAACAAAACCGTGAGGGCGTGGTCGGGGCCAAAAGCGGACAATATCGTGCTATGGTGGAGTTGGGCCCGGGAAGTGGTCCCGCCCGAGCCGGGATGTGACAATTATTGTGACATCCCACATCTCCCAGGGGAGTGATCCTTATATGTATATTCTCATCCCTACCTAGCACAAGGCCTTTTGGGAGCTCACTGGCTTCGGGTTTCGTAGGAACTTCAAAGTTAAGCGAGTAGCGCATGAGAGCACTCTCAGGATGGGTGACACATTGGGAAGTTCTCGTGTGAGTTCCCAGAAACAAAACCGTGAGGGCGTGGTCGGGGCCCAAAGCGAACAATAGCGTGCTACGGTGGAGGGGGTCCAGGAAGTGGTCCCCCCGGGCGGGGATGTGACACCTATGCCTCGCCATGGCTATCTCGGGGGCCAGGTACGCAAGTTATAAAAGGTCCATCTTTTATTAGATAGTTTTCTAGACAAAATAGGACAATGATTGATGTTAAAAAGTAATAACTTAAATCAAAACAAATTTTAGGACTCATTGATTATAAGTTTATAAATGTTATTAAATAATAAGTAAAAAGAGCTACAAACATAACATTCACTAAATAATCAAAAGCAGTTCAATTTTAAACAAACAAGCAAGAAAAAAAAACTTCAAAAACTCCAACTTCAAAGTTTCACTTGAATATATAATCAAATTAAAGAAAAAAATTATTTTTAAGATGTTGTTATTAGCACTTCAAATTTTTATATTTAAAAAAAATGAGTTCACACTTATGAAAATGCACAATGACATTTTAAGTGCTAATACAAGCAACATTTTTGTAATATATAGCATTATTACATTTACATATAAATATTATATGATTAGAGCTTTTTTAAATTTAGAGCCCTGTGATTGCACTTTCGTTCCCCTAAAGCCGTCATTGGACCCGCATCAGCTGCTTTTTAGAACCGTGAGAATAAGACACCAACGATGTTGGTATGTCGTTGAGGCCCCATTTGAACAACATTTTGGCACTGCAAGGTTGTCATTTCTTGGTTAAAAAGAATCATTAAAATGTCATCTAGTATTACAGTCTAATGATATTATACTTTATTTGTAGGTAAAAGATTTTATATTCGATTCTCACTAAATGCGAATTTGAACCACATTATTTATAACCAATTGTAAAACTTAACCTATTCCCCCACCCCTTTAGTATAAAAAATATCGTTTGCTAAAAAAAAAATCACCATCAAAATAGCCAAACACCTTCACTTGGTTTTTAATTAGGGCATCGCATCTAATCCCATTTGGACAAGTGGCCTATTAGTTTGTTAATCATCCTGTTTCATGTTAGATGTTACATACTACCAAAAGATACTTTGTGATTAAGGTCGATGGGGTTTCTTAATTTGTTTCATGCATTGCCTTTCTATCTTTAATTATTATTATTTTTGTTTTTTTTTTCGGATTCTTTCTCCTCTCTTGTCTACTGAAAACATTTTGTTTAATTTGGTTTTGAAGGTGGGAAATATTGTGGAAAAAACGCTTATGAAATGAGTGAGTTGGTTAAACATCACAGTACTGTGACGCTCTTCATGTTTTTATTTCAGGAAAAACAAAAACATAGAAAAATAAAAAAGGTCGTAAACTAAAAATGTATGTTGAGTCTTACACTAGTTGGGAGACCAATAATTTTAAAGGATAGTGCCCTCTCTCTAGCTAAGTAATAACTAATATGAAAGCAAAGTTTGGTAGACATGATTAATTTCTTGTTGTAAACATGTCACGTTGGGCGGTTGAACATTATACTTAAGCATTCACGTAAAAATTGCAGTCTCCGCCACTTCCTCCGTGCTGCTAAATGATAATAATATCTCGAGAAATATGATCGAGCCAACTAATCGTAGTAGCTGAGTTATTGTTATTAAATAGTGCAACATTGTAGCAAATCTTATTCGCTAGCCCAAACAAGCCTGTATGATTGGCTATGTTTTTTCTCTCTCTATTATTATGATTATTATTGATATGAGTAATTTCTTTTAACTTAGGAACAATCACATCAGCGTGATCATATGCAGTCCAATCACAGTCTTTGCCCTTTTTTTCCTGAAGAAAATGTTATATAGTAAACCAAAGTTCAACAATATTTAGATTGTAAAACCCTAAATTTATTGACTGGTGCATTCACTTTGGTTACGATTGTGCAGTAGACAGATTAAGAGAATGAGCGAATGCTCCGTGAGGTAATTTTATTAGAATTTAATTACTCACCGACCAAACTAACTCAAGGAAAAATAAGATTTCTAAGAGCAGTAATATATAGAACTCGAATGGTGATTTTGAAGGCGTTGGAATTGTAGGTTCGATAATTAAGTCGGCGAGATATACAAGAATGTACATGCAGCATGCGATAGGTAAGTTTTTCTCGCGAAGTGATGTGACAAGGCAAGCACAAGTGGGCGAGTGACCAAACTAAACAGACATGCTTATGAAGGCGCCACCTGCGGTGGTGAGGAATTGGCCTGGACAATGCCAAGAAAATGCTCTTTGGCATTATTTACCAACCCTCCTCATTTTGGACCCTAAATTTCCCGTACCCAAAACTCAGATACAGTACCGTCTCAACATTAACATGCTCTGCATCTTTCACGTGGCACTTCCATGAGGATGACTGTCCTACGTGTTGCCCTTATCCTATGCATTGTATAGGGCAGGGCCAACATGCATGACTGGTTAGCGTGCAGAAGATACAGTGCAGTAGAATGTCCTTCGAGCTAGCGCAGTAAAAAAACACAGTAGGCCACGTAACCCTAAACCATGAGAAGTAATTCCAATTCTGGTTAGGGCATACGTCCTAAACGACAGACTTTAATAGTCATATAGTTCTTACAGGGGTGAATAAGTGGTCGAACATATTTAAATTTGAGTAATACTAAGTATATCAAATTTGGTTAAATGTTAATAAAACTCTAAATTGTTCTCCAAAGTTCCATTGTTTTCTTTTGAATTATTCAATTCAAAGTTGGAAATAAACACGAGTTTGCAAAGATGGTAATGCAGGACGCCGGTGGACAATAGCAGCGTGTGTAAGGCGAGGAAAACTGTAAATTATAACTCTTTTACATGTGAAAAAACTCACACTCTGAGTTGAATAAAGGATCGAACGTACATAAATTGACCAGACTTGAGATATCCCTTCAGATTCACCCTATATACGGAGTGATCAAATTAATCCACCTGCCATCACATATCAGTCTCTTGTCTGGCTCATTTACAAGTATATGATCACTATCACACAATCCCGGTAATATAAACTGCTCAAGTGGTCCATCCATGAAAGACGACCTCTGCAGTAATTAACAGCCTAGTAGTGGACATTAGCTTCCGTATAGCTTGATTCACGACTCTCAAGTTCCAGGAAGATTTGCATATGAAAACACAAAGCATGCAAAAGATTTTGTGGAAATTGCATGGCCACACACTTTATATCATGCTACGCACCCTGCATTCTAGTAGTGGACATTAGCTTCTGTATAGCTTGAGATCACGACTCTCAAGTTCCAGATAGACTTCATATGAAAACACAATGCATGCAAAAGATTTGGTGGAAATTGCATGGCCACACACTTTATATCATGCTACGCATCCTAATGAACGAGAAAGACATTCATGGCACGGGTTTACATCGTATGGCATTCTGTGCCAACAATATAAGAACATATGTTAGTTGTTTTCTAGGAAAAATTAGTTTCCGATCCTTAGTTTCTAATATTCATTGACTAAGACCTTATCAGATTTTAGATTTTGATCAAAGTCTCTAGCATTAATATATTAATGAATTACATGTAAGTTAGATAATTTTTATAAAAAAAATTAGTAATTGATTTAGAGTTTTAATATTCACACCCTTATTAAACTCCTAATTAATTTTCAATTCAAGCATTTCCCAAATATAAAAAATAAAATTAGAATAATTTTGTAACCATTAAATTTTTATAAATTTTTTTTTAACTTTTTAATCTTACATGTATCCATTCTTAAATATACCAATTTGTTAAAAATGTACCTTTTTTAATTTAAAATGTAACCATTTTTTATATAAAATTTCATTCAATCTTTTCTCTAATCCATTTTTTAAACTTATATGGGTACATTCTATTTCATTGATTTGAGAATGTATCCATATCAAGTTTAATAGAAAAAAATTTAATAATGTTATTAACTTATTATGCCTAATATCTTTTTCTTTTCTTTTTTTTGTGCTTTTGAAAAATGTACCCATGTTTGGTACAATAATTTTTTGGTTAGTTTTGATGAATGTACCCACACACACACACACACACACACACACACACACACATACATACATACATACATACAATATATTGGACAGTATAATTCATCTTTTATATTTTTAATCCCATAAATAATGGGTTTTATTTAAAATCTCATTAATATAAATAACTGCAAATTTCATTTTTAATTTAAAAATGTAATAACCTACATAGAAATACACTATTACATTAATGTTAGAAACTTCAATAAAAAACTAAAAACCACCAAGGTTTCAGTCAAAGAACATTAGTAGTTAGGGACCACATCTAAAGTGTCCCTTTTTTTCTAGATGTCTTTATATTATTAGTATGGAATGCCACCATAATGGTGAATCTGTCCTACAAGTTGTTCTCCTAACGCACACATGAATAACATTGTTAATTAAAGATTAGGTAGCTTATTGGTTTATTTGTTCACATGTATTCTCAAAACTTAAAATGTGCAACTGAGCCTGCAACGTTCATGAATAACATTACATTGTTAACTAAGCCTTTTTAGCCAAACCGATCTCAGAGATAGCATAACTTATCATTTTGGTCCTAAGATTAAATATCAACATGACTAGCCCTGAGTTTGTCCACTGTCAATCATTTTGGTATTTCCGTGAAAAATCTCCATTAAAAAAGAATAAAATTACAAAAATACCCTCAATTTTGTCAAATCATTTTGGCTAATTGTTTATTAAATTAAGAATATTTTTATCATTTTGGTTCTTATTTAATAGATATTTTTTTTCGAAATGACCAAAATGACTGATGATGAACAAACTCAGGAACCAGTTCTATGATTTCAAATTTAAGGACCAAAGTGAGGAGTTAGATCAATCTCAGAGACCATTTTGGCTAAAATGTCTATTGTTATTAAAGATTGATTTTAAGTAGTGTCAAGATTTTTCTTTAGTAGAGTGATTGGTTGGTGCCACTTATTGCTACGTTCTAATACTATTCTTATTCATTTGTAAATGAGAGACCTTAGGTTTGATTTGCACCAAAAACGAATTTGAACTACATTATTGTTAACCCGTTGTAAGACTTAGCCCACTCATTACCTCTTTAGTGTTAATAATATCGTTTGTTACAAAAAAAAAGTGATTGGCTGGTATCTAATACCAAATCTACGTTCGAATATTTCTTTCGATATTACTAACATTTCCTTCAAATACAAACACAATATCAACAAAATATCAATATTTATTAATTGTACTCTAAATTAGTACGTCGTACAAAACAATAAATTTCCGTTTTTCGTTTTAGGTTAGTAGCTTCTAGGTTAGGGAACAGGGTAGGATCAAGGCCGAATGTCCATCTTTTTCAGTGCCATGGAAGATGCCAACGGCCTTCCCTCTGCACCCATAAGCATTGCTACACTCCATATTATGTCAAGTAGCCACTAACAACAACAACGTCCTACTCTCTGTCGTTGAGTGGCAGTTAAATTGACAAGACACCCGAGGTAGACCCTCCGAATGTCCAAACGAACACCGGCATGAATGGCGCCAAGAAAAAAAGAGACAAGATATCCTCCAATTCCACGGCAGAAACTATCCCAAAAAATAAAGAAAAAAAAACCACTCTGAAAACATTGTTGTGATGAAATTGCATGAGAATATGACATTTCAATTCACTACTATACGCAGCGAAAGCCATTCTGAAAACATTTCAACTTGAAATCTTCATGAACTTAGAGAACGAAAGAAAAAACCTTCTCCAACACATCATGCAATCATCAGTAACAATTTCTATTTGCAGAAGATTTCCGATCGTTTCCATTCCCGCCGCGAGTTCTCAAACTCGTATACAAGATTCAAGCAGATGTGGCATAACCAACAATCATCATTCACAATCTTATATGAATTTTGAGAGGATCGATATGAAAATTCTTGAGCAATTTTTCAGAAAAAAAAAATTTGATTGAATTAACAATAATCAAACGCACCTTTTTTCCGAAAATAAATGGCGTACCTTTTTCTCTTTACTGTGTTCGGTTTTATGAAAAATGAATGGGTCAGTCCAAGGGTTCCTAAGTCATGTACAACACGAAACACTCGGGAGCCCTCAACTCGTAAAAACTCTACTCTTCACAATCTTTTCTACCTCTGTTTCACTCAAATGTCTAATCCCATTCTCCTTCATCCATTTCTCCCCTCTTGCCAAACTACTTTGAAGTTTTTCTTCTTCCATCTTTAACAGCTTCAAGCCTTCACTTACTTTGGGGAAAAAGCCCTCCGGCCTCAAACACCAAGCCCGAAATGCCCCAAATAAAACCTCCAAATCACTACCAAACCTCTCAACTCCGCTATCATAAAACTTAACATTGCTCATTAGAATACTGCTGAAAAACAATCTATCAATCCCAGCTGCCAAACTTCTCCACACCCCGACAAAGTCTATCCCATTCAAATCAGCCTCTACAACTGATATCTTACATTGCAAATAATCTAGAGCACCAACTAAAAATCTGGACACTGTCCAACCGTCCTCACTCTTTTCTTGCCACTGCCTCCTGTTCTTCGTATAATCTCGACATTGAGCAACAAATCCCCTCAATATAACAACAGACAACTTTTCAGCCCACTCTATTCTAAACTTCTCCAACTTTACAATCTTCTCATGAAAAATACCACTTTCAAGACCTTCCTCTGTCTCGACATTACCACTTTGATCATCAGTGGATTCTCCCGGTTGATCACTTTGACCTGACCATATCTCAAGGAAGAAGACGTCCTCACACCATTCCCTTAAAACAGATTCAAAGTAGCGAGTGGCATTAATGGAGTTTGCAACTTTAACTAGGCCATCATCATCGGTCAAGGCAGTCAGACCTTCAGCTTCTTGGCATCTGATAAGTAAGCACTCCAAAAAATTTTGTATAATAGGTACCCCGGCTAATCTCAGAAACCGAGACCTCATAGAGATGCTAGGCAATGAACGACAACGATCAACCACAGATGATAAACACCGAAGATAGGCACTACAAATTGCAGGAGCTTTGTGATCTTCAGTATCAGATAAAAGAGCCGCTCCTTGGACTTTCATGGTCCAGTTTCTCTCATCACCAGTATCAAGTTTCAACTTCTCTAGTATATCATTTAATTCTATCTCTGCCCATAAATCAAGCCAATCTGGTCGATCACTGAAAATGGATAGAGAAGAAACCTTTAAGAAGTTCCCATCATCCTGAAGTGAAAGCAAGATTCCAGAATTTTCTATCAGAGACTTGATTCGTTTATCAAAAGATATCATCAAGTCAATAAGATGCAGCCAGGATATTCTAGCCTGTGACTGAGTACCTATTATGCTATCTTCATCTGGTTGTCCAGCATATTTTGGGAATATCTCTTTTGCTAAGTAAGTTGATAAGGATGATACCATTGCTGAAATCCATTCTTCTCTGCAACTGTACCCTGTTAACATTGCTTCATCAACCAGTGGTTGCAATAATTCATCCATAGAGTCAACATAATCCCTGGTGGTCTTGTAGACTAGAGCAAATATGAATTCTGGCTTGTCAACCCATTTTTTGAAATGGCGTTGCGATGCTAATGATATAGGATTTACAAGCTCTTCAATCACCCAAAGTGGTTGGTGAAGAGCAAGTTCACGATTATAGCCCTCTAGTTGACGCGATTTTCTTCGTCTCTGCAACTCCTGGAGGCCGCACAAGGCTAAAAAGTTTTCACAGTACTGGTCTTTGAGGTCTCCTTGCATCGTGAAAAGAGGATTCAGAACTTCAGTTGATCTCCCTGTATCTGGAGTTGAGGAACTCAAAGTGGCAAGAGGTGGTGGCCATCCAAGGGAAGTAAGCAGGGCCCGGTGATCTGCTATAGCATGAGGTCTTAAAATAGCCAGAGCTCGATCTACTCTGTGATCAACTGCTGACACAAGATGTGCCCGTTGAGGGTGTGTCTTTGTAACTGCAGTTAAAACATCTTCTATCAACTTAAGAGTTTTAATAGCACCCACACGCATTTCCTGCCAGAGAAAAAATGAGGACTTTACAAAATAAATAGGATATAAGAAATTGTAATTACTAAATTACTTTGTTTTTGCAAACAAAGTGTACTTACTTCTGAATTCTGTCTTGCTGAATGTTTCCACGAGTTTTTCTTCATGGTAGAAGATACAGCATCTTCAATATCACCAATCATAGTTTGAAGCTTCAATGCAGTCTCTGAAGATAAAAATAAAGGACCAAAAAACTGAGAGAAAGTTTGATGTCGAATATACAGATAGTACTATGCTTCTCAGTAGTTAGTAATGCTAGGAAACAAAATGTAGTACAGGCATACAAAACACAGAAGACAGAGGCTAAGTGGGTATGGAGGAAGCACTTCAGAAGTTAAAGGACTACTTCATATTAACAAAAAAATCTCTCCCAAATGTGAAAAACAAATTTGGCTGCATGATTTTGAAGAAGTCCAACAATTAATGTAACCATTACTAAGAACGCATTGACATTTCTACTAATTAAGGGGCCCGTTTGATAACTATTTCATTTTTAGTTTTTCACTTTTTGTGCTAGAGATAGAGGAAAAAATAAAAGAGAAAAGTGAGGAACGAAAAATAATGAAGGGAGGAGGGAGGAATGGAGATTATATGAAAACAAAAACTTGAAAGTCAAAACGAACAATATGAAATTGTTTTCATTTTTTTGGTTTTTAGTTTCATTTTGTGTGTCATTTCACACACATTTCTTCCACCACACCATCCTTCTTTCAAATTCCTTCATTCCTCGTTTCTCCCATATACCTTTCCTTCATCTATGGCACAAAAAGAAAGAAAACTAAAAACTAAGAATGAAATATTTATCAAACGGGCCCTAAGAAATAGGATGGGAACCGGGATTCTCATGTTTAGTATCGAGCCATTTGTAGTTTCGCAGAACAGATTCAGCTTCATGGTTCTACATTAGCAATCTGTTACTGCCTAAAATAATATGTGATCATACCACAAATAATTGAACCATCAATGTAGTATTTCATAATTGATCTTACTATTATCCAGGGATTGAAGAACAATCCTTCGGTTATACATTTCCGGTCTCGATTCAAACAAAGTGGGCTAATTGTAAAGCAACTATAATCTGAAAAACTAAACCTTTTCAGATAAATCTAGTTTCTTAAATTTATCAGTTCATCTTCCAAATTCATTTCCATTGTGTCCCAAGAAACGCACCTACGTATGTTCGAACCGACTCGACTCTCGCCACTTCCTTGGCCAACGCCGGTAGCTCCTCCCCCAATATCTGCTCCGCCCTCTCCTTTCCTTCTCCATCTAAAAACAAAAGTTATCCAAATTAGCGAAACAAAAAACGAAATTATACCCAAAAATTGAAAATTTTAGCCAATTGCATTCAGAATTGCCCGAATATCAATACCAGCACACACAAACCTGAAGTGCGAGAGCTGGTGGAGGATACGAGACCCGTCAATTGGGCATTGATGCCGCCTAAGAGGCCGTGGACTCGATCGGAGAACGAAGCGTAAGTTAGAAGCGAGGATCCGAGGCTCCGATTCAGGTCGATTAGGGTTCGATCCAGGTCGCCGCACTTGGCTTGGAGCTCCGACAGGAGAGTCGGAGCCCCGCTCAGATTTTCATTGGTCCGAAACTTGTCGTCGAGGAAGGAGATGACCGAGGGCGGGAGGTCGGATGCTGGCGGGAAGGTCTGGACCGCCGAGTCCATGATGGTCTCAAGCCATTTGGGTCCGGTGGTGCGAGTGGGAAATTTGAATGGTGCGCGAGGGTATTTTAGGGTTTTTAACGGGAATTTCAGCGACCGGAAAGCTTTTTGCGTTGGTTGAGAGACGAAGACTGAAATTTGACTCCCACCAAATACCGTTATCAGTTGCGCGGGTCAATTCGTGGACCAAATTGTTGTTGGGCTTGGGCTTTAGTAAATCGTGTTAAGGGGCTTCAAATGGGTCAACTCTAGTTTTGTTTTTGGAAGAAGGTTATGCTCTAGAAAGACTATATTCACCTATCCCAAATTACTTCTTCTACACTTTTTTAATTTTTTAATATTTTCCTCTCAAGTGTTAGTGGTGTGTATAAAATATTAAAAAATTAAAAAGGTGTGCGAGAAGTAATTTGGGATGTGTGAATATAATCTCTCTATGCTCTACTCTTTGCCTACCCACCATGGGGAAAATATAGGCTCCGACCGTTGGTCCACGTTATATGTCCGATCATTCTCACAAAATATGAGATCTCATGTATGTACTCAATTCCATGTTGAGCCAACACCTTCTAAACTGCTCGCCACACAAGAATTACTTCGGCTTCATCATTGGTGCAGGGCATGTAACTATGTAAGGCAAGTCAGTAAGACATCAAAGTGGAGAGATTTTTCAATGTGGTGGGAATACCGTCCGGTACAGCAATTGTAATATAATTGGTTGAGAACTTGATAAAAACAAAAATTTCCAATCAATTGTATTATGATAGATAGTATATCAGGCCGTGTTCCCAACACATTGAAAATTTCTCGTCAAAGTGGAGCTAGATTAACAACAAAGCAAAGGTTGAGGGTAGACCTGTAAACGGGTCAGTTTACTGGGCTTGGGTCGGATTGAACCTGATTCGTTATTTTAACGGGTCATTCGAACCCAACCCGTTAAGTTAACGGATCACCCAAACCCAACCCGTTAATTTAACGGGTCATTTGTTTCACCCGTTAACAATTTTTTTTCTTTCTTTTCTTTTCTCTCAAATCAAATCAAATCAAATAATTTCAAGGGAAAACACAACACACAAACACCAAGTACGATGTTGTCTGGAACTCCATCACCATTCTTTACACCTACGACAACTCCTTCGACAACCCTAAGTACGATGTTGTTTGGAACTCCAGTCAAACTAGTCCTTCCATGAACCACCAGGTTCCCATCATTGATCGAAATTTGCGGTGTCACCGTCATGGTTGATGACTGCATGCCCAACTACTATCTCACAACATGAAATGGCATTGACATACATACATGATTAGAACAACAAATTAACACATTTCACATTCAATGGGATAAAACAAAACAAAAATTGAAGTTTTATATTTATAATCATCAATCAGATAAAATATTTCAAATTTCATCTTTGGTTCCTAAGTCAAAAACACATAATCTTTGGGAACAAAAAAGATACCATCAATGGAAAAAAAATTAAGAACCCAGGTGAGTTGCATGTTTGTTTTCTGGTAAATGTAAAAATTTGAGGCAAAACTGATGTAGAAAACAAAAACCTAGAAGCGAAAAAGGGAAAAATTGAGGATTTTGAAGCAAACAAAGAGGTCAGGCCTTGCCTACATCCACCGCATCTCCACTCCCACGGTGGGAGTCCCACCCTTCCATTTCCTTCCGCCAATTCCCTTGTGTCACAAATAAAATTACGCAAAACATTAGCAACACTGCAATCATGGTCGACTTCGTTCGCCAGGCCTATGTTCCTCCATATGGGTGGTTAACGGGTTCGCGGATTCACCCAAAATGATCTGTTATTTAACGGGTTGGCCCGTTAACCACCCAACCCGTTTATCACTCATTCGAATACTAATTTTAAAAGATCGAGTCGGGTCCGGTTGAAAATACCAGGTGTAGTTAAGGGTGTTTGTGAGACAGTGGGTGTATCAAAGAAGGGAAGTTTTGTTAAGAATTTTTCAACCCACAAATCTTTCATTCAATCATTCTACGTTGGGCTTTACTAAACATTGTTAATGGACTCAAATAGGCCGAGTACATTGGGGTTGGACTAAACTATAGTTGCGCTTACTTTTTTTCTCAAGGTTTTGTATTTATCCTTCGCATAAATTCTAGAGCCTAACTGCCGGATCACTTCACCCTTTCGACCCTTTCAAAAGAGTTGAATCTCTGTATTAGGCCCATACAACCCCAAGTTGATCTTGGGGTGTTGAGTCTGCTTCCTTGCCGCACGCAAGAACACTCGCATATGAGTATTGAAGTTTTTTTGTGTGATTTTATGGAGAAACATTTTCCTTGTGCTTCTCCCTATAAAATGATTCTGGTCGTTCCAGAAACACTTCTGAATGAGCCCTCAATCTGCCGGGAAAAAAAAGAAAAAAAACTAATTGTGAGGTTTGAGGTGGTCCAAAAGCGTGGCAATGGGTAAAGGAGGAGATAATCTTATAATTCATCATGTGTGAGGATTTTAGATAAACACTATCCCAATCTTGGATTGCCTTCCTTTTTATGTATAGTGCAAATAAACCAACCCACCATTTGTAAACGCATCTAAATTTTGTCCACAATTTTAAGCTTTTACATTTTGGACCACTTGCAACATGTCGATGAAGCATGAAAGTCTAAACACTTTCAAATTAGTGTGCTATAAGCATGAAAATCCCTTACTTTGGTAAGCAAGCACCTTAGTGTCTTTATGAGTGGAGAATAATCTCGAACACGGGGCCTCAAATGTAGTACCGCTGTTCTTAATTGATTATTAAAATTGATTTTGTTTTTATTGTTTGATATGGTGTAGGAAGGAAGTTGTATTTAGAATCACATTGCCAAAACGTTACGTGATAAGGTTGAAACTTGAAGAATTGATATTTTGGAAAGTAAAATTTTGGATAAACCCTTTCTTTCTCGCTTTATGAATTCCCTTTTTTGAACTTTCCATTTTCAATCAATCCATTTGGTTAGCGCCAAAGAAAAGACAATCATTTCTATTCGCCCGGACTAATGCGATAGTAACTCAACCAGATAGGTCAAATTTGATTTCAACGAGACATGATACAACAAGATTTTCAATTCGTATGAGCTACCACACACAAGACATCAAGTTTGAAATGCCGAATGCGACGAGAATTGCTACAAAATATCAGTAAAAACTGCAGAACTCTCCAACTTTACTTTTTACTGCTCAAAAGGGCTAACCTTTCTTCATTAATCTCAAAAAGTTAAGATTGCTGTTTTCCTTTCTAGGTGCTTTGAAAACCATCTTATCCAAAAACAGCTCCATGGAACTTGCTGACGTCATTAAAATATGCTGACAGAAAGTAAAAAAGTAAAAGAATTTCACAGCCACACGAGGAAAAGTTTAAAAAAAAAAAAAAAAAAAAAAAAAAAAACAGTAAAAGTGGGATTTGAAGTCCAAGTTCAACAGCAGCAGACATGGAGATCAACGACGCACGAGCCCGCCACGTGAGCAGCTGAAAAGGAAGTTGATGGGTGGGGACCACGTCAGCATTTCGCCGTTTTTGCACAAAATAAGGTACGATTTTTTGTACTTTTTTATGTTTTAATTTCTCTGGCGGATTATGATTGGCTGCCAACAGAGATTTATTCATTTTTTCGTGCAGTAAAAGTACGCCCTGCTGCAGTGCGAGCCAGTACAAATAATCAATAAAAAGTCATAAAAAAAGGACAATTCATGTTTTTTGTTTGGCTATAATATGATGAAGTACAAGAATATTATGATTTTATGCGGTACTTAAAAATAAATAATATTCTAAAGTGTTTTTAGAAATTTAACGATTAAAATATCTAAAATATTCTGCAGAGTGTTTTAAATTTTCTCGAGAAATATAACCATGTGGTCGATAAGGCCCTAGTTGGCAGATCGGATAAAGGATCGGATATGATTAGTTATATGGACTCGGGTGATTGGCGTTCACTCGTACTAAATAAGCACCGGATTAATTTAACCGGTCGGATAGGATAACACAGTATACACCCGCTTAATAAAACCAACCAAAACGCCCGGATTATTTAGTCGGGGAAGAAGAATATGGGAGAGAAAGGGAGGGAGTTTGGGGGGTGTGGCGGAGAGAGCTGGGGAACAATTATTTGGGATTCTTCTGCAGTCGGGGAAGAAGAAGGGAGAGAGAGGAAGGGTGTTTGGGGGGGGGCGCGCAAAGATCTGGGAACAAAAAAATGATTTCACTTTTTTAAATTTTTTTTTTTTAAGTTTGATTCCTCCTATCTAGTATAATACCAAATACAATATAAATAATACGGTCACTAGTCCAATACTGCACCAAACACCCGACTAATTTAGTCAGTACTATCCGATGACTATTTATGTTATCCGACAGAAATAGTCAGTGCAGTCCGAGCTGCCAAACGAGGCCTAAGACTCATCAACGGCTGCTGAATGATATTTAAATACTAGATTTTACTATAATTTTAAAATAACCCATAAAAATTTTGAAAACATTAATACATGCTGGTGTATGTTAAGATCTAGTGGTTAAAAATCTTAATTAGAATACTTTCCAAGCATTCTAGAAGGTGAAAATTGTATCAATGATATCTCAACGTTAACACAATTGGAGTAATGGTCTATCAACTAAAAATTTGTAATTATTGGTCCCTTAACTCATCAAAATGTGCAGTTATAGTCTTTTTCGTCAACTCCATCAAAAGTTTTGTCAAATGAGTCATGGTGGAAGGACTATGGCTATAATTGGTTTAAAGATGAGGGACCCCATTGCTACAATATTCTCATTTGATTTTTCATATTTGCCCCTTGATTTAGTCTTACATGTGTGACACATAACTCATTTCGACGGAAATTTTTAGGAGAGTTGACAAAAAGGACCATAGTTGCACATTTTGATGAGTTAAGGGACCAATGATCACATAGTTTTAGTTAAGGATCATTACTCTAATTGGGTTAAAGTTGAAAGACATTTGCTACAATTTTCTCTACTAGAAAAGAAAAATGATAGTCACACCAATTTTCTCCTTCTACACGCACATGTTTAATTATGTCCGTTATTTTCGTTTGATTTATTCATTCTAATGCGAAAAAATAAAGAGAAATGCATAAAAGGCTAAAAAGAATGAAAATAAGCTCCCACTAGAAAATCACTTCAAAATTCAACGGTAAGTGACCATGAATCTCTTTGGCAACCAAGAAAACAGAACTTTCGTTTTCTATTTTGATCTCCGTTTCTCTTTTGCTCTACACTATAACACACGAATTTTTTCGGTCCGAACATTCGTATAAGGCACAAGCTCAAGGAGGTATGAACCGGAATGAGACCAAAATACACAGGGCTAAGGTGTTTGGTGTGTGCAATTAGAAAAATCTGATATTGCCAAAACAAACAGAGATTACACATATGGTATTTCACCAACTTTTTTCTTTCCCTAAACAAACAGAGAGAGAGAGAGAACCAAATTTCCTAATACGCCTCGAAACACTTTCTTCGATCGCCATTTAATCACCGGCAAGAAAGGAAAGAAAAAGACCCTGTAAACACGAAGAAACATGGGTCACAAAATCCGTTCCCCCGAGTCAAAAACAACAAGGTTTCATACATGAGAGTTTTCCAGAGCAATCACTATCATAGCTAAATGACACATCTATGAAATGCATGCATCTGCTAAAGAACACGTCTAAGAAGATATATATATATATATATATATATGTATCTGTCAATGCCTGTGACGTATGAGTTAATAGCAACGAATGTCGCTTACCACAGCATTCTTGGAAACATTCATGTAACCAAACATTGAAAACACCGCATCAGCAATTTTCAATGCGGAAGTGGTTGCTTGCATCAGCTCTTACTCAATTTGTGTTTCTGAATGTATGATTTCAGAAGCATCAGTTTTGTTGTGTACATTCGTTGAATCGAGCAACATCTTCAATTGCGAAAACGGCAGAGAAATCCAAGCTTCCTACTCATTTCCTTGTCTTCAAGTTCATCAAGGAAAGAATTTTAAAACTTTACCAAATCGATACACAACCCATATGTGTTGTCACAATTGTATAGAAGCTAATTCACGGAAGCAATACGTCATCATCTTTTGAAAAGGAAAGGAAGCGAAAAAAACCCTAAATATACACTGATGCAATGGCAAACAGCTCAAATAAACCTAAGAGTTTATGACTAACCTGATAAAAAAGACTTTGACATCGATTACAATACAGCGAACGTTAACCAAACAGTAATGCAGTCCTCATAAAGGGTTATGCAGCGGCAAATAATGGGCGCGACAAGAAAATGGGCATGCTTATTATGACAATGAGAGATTGATATGGTAAGCACTAAAATGACTTTAGATGGAATGAAATGCAGAAGCATTTAGAAAACGTAAGGAAAATTTAAGGAACAAAATAGCATGACAAGAAAGAGGAAAACCTGATGTACAAGTCCCACCTGTGGTTGAAAAACTATCTAACTTGATCTGAGCTAGTTGCAGAAAAAACTGAAGTAAATTTCACCATGCAATTGCTTTCCGGATTAAGTTCTCTGAGAACAACAGTCATCTATGAGGCTTATAAATCACTGTTTCTGCTTCAAAAATGCCATGAGGCCTTGAAAATAATGCCAGGATTTCATTAGATGCACTCTCAATGAGCAAAAGCATCGTCAATGGAGTCCTGTGTTCACTTCGGCTCATGGCGATTCCAACTTGATAAACCAGATCCAAAAGATGGATCCAGTTTAACTTGTAATGACCAACCACATTTACTACATAATATATACATATATATTTGCATCAAACCACATTGTTCTCGTTTAAGTATCTCTCCACGTCGTTCATATAATTTGATCAACATGGAAAGGCTAATCATCTATGTCGAGAAAAATATACATAAAAGTTACTTTCTGGACAAATATATACAAGCCTAGCGAAGTTTTCCACAAAGAATTCAACTTTAGCAATGAAACTGAGCAGCCAATGTGTTATAAACATTTAACTTAAAAATTTCCTTTGCAAAAAGTTAGAAAGAAAGAAATCAAATTCACAAGAAAAAGAAGAGGGGTAATTCAAAATAAAGTTCTTCATATGGATCGAAAGAAGTTCCTCCAACCTACATTATAGTTTAGGGTCCATTCAGATTGTGCAACAGTAGTGAGTGAAAACGCATATAGAAGGAAGATAAGAATATAAATCTATATCAGAAATGGAAGTCATTCTTTGTTCTGTCCTCCAAAATGGGAGGGGAAAAGAGACTTTGGAAATATAAGCTTAGGAAATAAACGAAATGAAGAACTTGAACCATTACACAATTCTGCAATTTTTCAATAAAACTTATGAAAATAGTCATAAAAACCTAAAACATGTACCGGTATCGCAGTTTATTCACCTTTTCCTGTTCTACATGATGCCAACCTTGCTGAAAACTCTCAAAGTTACCAAAGGGAAAAAAAACGAGACACAATAAAGTTTAAAAGATAAAAAAGGAAAATAACTTTTCAGGCCTTCTTCTGTGAATCTGTGAATATATCTATGACTCTAAATTAAAACCTGAATTTCCCCAAAAAGGAGGGTCGAGATTACCCACGAGCTGGAATCCCATCTCCTTGAAAACTGAAGATTGCAAATTCTACCCAGGATTCCATGCAGCGCAGACGGTGCCACTGAAACCGGACGCCTCAGCCCTCAGCATCCCATCACCGCACAATTATACACAAAGCTGCCAGAAGGTTTTCTAGCAAGCAGGTTCCACTGTGGCGGGCCTCCATCAGGGACCCAAGAATTAAGTTCAATTGTCCCTCCGCCTAAGGCCCTAGGTCCACCAATTACAATTAATCGATCTCCACATGCCCTAAATGCTATTCCCCAACCATTCATCGAGGCTGCACGCTCAGGCAAACTCCCAACAGTGATCCACATGTTCCTCTCCTTATCATATCTCCTCACCTCCTGTTCCGCATAATCTGCAGCATACAATATGTTATTTACAACTGCCAAAAGAGGAGGTGCCGCAGCTGCAGCAGGTGCCTCAGGTGCCCCAGCATTTCTTCCAGGGAACATGTTAGGTATCTCAGTCCAAGTCCCCTTCTCCAAATCGTACACCTCTCCACACGTAAGTTGCTTTTGGTCGCCCACTCCTATCCCACCAATGACATAAAACTTCCCATCCATAAATACCCCAGAGCACATTTTTCTAGGTTTATTCATGCTAGGAAGAGTCAGCCAAGTTCCTGTTTCGGAATTATAAAGTTCAGCAGAGTTCAAGACATTGCCACGTGGATCGCAACCACCTGCGAGAATTGCAAGTTCCCCACGGCTTGCAGAACCGAACAAGCATCTAGGTGTATTCATCTCAGTGCCTGATGACCACGTGTTGGTCAAAATGCTGTATCTATAAACAACATGGGACGTTATTTCCTTTCCAAAAACAAGAAGTTCTGTACCAACGGCTAACGATTCCTTGTCTGAACACATGAAACACTCGTTTGACGCCATTCTAGGTAAATGCATCCAACGTCGGAGATCTGGATCAAATGCCTCCCATTCAAGGAGGCTGCAAGAGAAGTAAACCCAATGTTCAATAATGCCCACTTTCCGCCTCAGTGTGTACAGCTCCCCACTCCGAATCAGAGAGCGGAAGTTCTTATTCAGCGAGGCAATAGAGCCATAATCAGACCTGGAGCAGCGAAGGAGACAGTTGATTGAGATATCCCGGCCAAGTTGGTAGATCAGTGAACTTGAATCAGAATTGCCACCTCCCTGATGCCCATCATTTGACTGGTCCTTGGCAGGGGGAAGACCATTCAGATCCATAACCACATCCCCTCCCAGAATAGCATCTGATAGCTTGCATACCTTCCTCAATGTGATTTCATCATCGTCTTCAATGGGGCGCTTATTGTTTGAGAGCTCCATAACACGGTGAGTATTGTAAATCCATTTGCTCTCTTGCTCACAAGAGCTGGGCAACTCCCTTGATACAAGATAGGAAGGACCTTCCAACATCTTGTTGGAATTCTCCAACTTGACCGGCGGTGAAGAAACCCTTCCTTTGGTATCCATCAAAACAAAATCAATGATGAGTATACAAAACGAAATTCATACGCCTTAATTACTCCCACATGCAAACCAATTATCTGCCAAACACAGATAATCCTCAGATTAACTCATGATACCACAAATAACGATTTCACATATCCAAAAACAAACAACATAACAGATAAATCAAAATTCCAGTACTTATATAACATGTTCATGTGTGGGGGGTGCTAATACAAATCCCAAAAAAAAACCGCCCGAAATCCGAATTTCCCATACAGAGAACCACATGCAACAATGCATTTCGGATCAAGGGCATATCCATATCAATCAAACAATCCTCACTCATCCATTTCAAGTAAAACAGCTGAAAATTCAAGTAAGAAATCAAAAACTTGCATGCACAAATCCAATCCGTTCCCATAGATAAAATTTACCCAATTAAGATCTTATGGTTCGGATTCCTGAATGGAAAAAGTACAGAAAAAGAAAAACGAAAACACAATCAATTGAAAACCGATTAATCCACTCCCCACCCTGCAATCAAAACGTTAATGCAGCAGCTAAATCCAACCACAAAGAACGTTTCTTTCACAGAAGTAAATTCACAGAGAGATCCATTTCAAATTTCCCATCAACATTCAAGAACCCATTTGCTCTTTTCATTTTTTAACCACCTGGAGCTCATCAAATCATGCAGCTCGTCCCCCAAAAAAAGCAAAAACCATGGCAAAAAATGAACAGAAAGCTTCAGGAAAACAAAAACGCAGAGCAAAAAAAGCTTACAAATTTGATGAGAAGAAGACGGTGCGTTCTGCCCCAGCTCTTCTTCTTCTTCTTTCTCCTCCTTCTCCTCCTCCTCCTCCTTCTCCTTCTCCTTCTCTCTCTAGCTCTAGATTCTCTCTCCTTTGCTTCTGGTTATATTCGCTGTGTGGGAGAGTAATGTATTAAATAATACATATATATAAAGGCTAAGACAATAATATTTTAATTCAATTTTTTTTAATTATTTTTTTACAGAATAGAAAAGAGGCTGGCGTGGGACCCGCATTTGAGTCGCCGTTTGGGATTGCGGCCAAGAGGTACCGAAACTGGTAACGGCCGTTTCCCACGTGTTAGAAACCCGGGTGGGCCCCGTCCGAGTAAATAAACGACAAGTCTACGCTGCGTTGTAAGGCGCATTTGGTGATTGCAATTGTTGGTTTTTGTGAAATTATATTTTTGATCCTTTTTTTTTTTTCTTTTTTTTAAGCTCTGCTTTTCTGGATTTCTTCTTTTCCTTTAAGGAATGCATCCCCCGATTTTATTGCTTGCTTCGTTGTGTTTTGAATGAGTTTGGATTCCTTGGGGATAAGTATCGGTTTCATTTTCTGAAAAAGGATAAGGATAATTTCAATGTCATGCAAGAAAGACGAAATAGTCTAATGTTTAGGAAATTCAGAATTCTAGATTAGCACGACCACTAAATATTATTAATGCTCAGAATGGTTCATCGATAAGGTCATGAAAAGTATTTAGGAGGAGTGTCTAGTGTGGTTGCGCTAAGATGATCAACTTCTGGAACGTTGAATACTTCATCAACACTGGAGTAGACTGTTAATGTTTAGAATAGTTCATCAGTGCGATTCTGATGTGTTCTGTAAGAGATTTTAATATAAGAACGTGATGATCAAACTTTGAAACTGTGAATGCTTCATTATAATATTAATATATGTTCAACATACGTTATTGAGTATATAGTTAGCTCCGATAGTTATTTTACGTAAAATGCATGCAGAGTTTTTTTTTTTTTTTTTTTTCATTTCATCATACGTATATATATTTGTTATTTATCTTGAAAGTTAACTTAGAAACAAAGTAATCACTATAAGCAATTGGTGAATTTCTCTATTGGTTAGAGTCTTGCTCTTCAACGTAATGTGTCACCAGTTCAAATCATCCCATTCTCTTTAATGTAAATTAGTGTAAAATATTATTTTTGGTAAAAAAAATAAAATAATACATTACAATTATTGTGTAATTCTCTTTCCTTATAGTTATATGATTCATTATGTTTAAAAGGCGACTTACATTTACATGTAGAGCAAATTATACTAGGATAATATTATTCACACACTTATTTTTACCTGCACACACCATTTTTTATTTATTTTTTCAATAATCTCCTTCAATTCATTCGATCCTACAATCGAAAATTGAAAGGGATAGGTGAAATAAAAATGAGTGTGTAACACTACCCATTCTACTACCCAATGTTCAAAATAGCCATTACTTTTAACTAGTACATACATCGTACATCTAAAAAGCTTCATTATGTTTAGCTCCGTGTATATATAATAAGATGGAATCGAAAAAATATGACTTTATTCTTTGAAATTTAATTTTTTATTTAAAACACATAATAGTATTTTATTTTTTCTTAACAAAAAACCCAATTACTAAGTCCTACTAAGCAGATTCATTAATTAAGTTTGACTTCACTTAATTTGTATTTTCGGATGCCTAAAATTCCCCTAATGACATTTTAACCTTGGGTTTATAACTTATTATCTACATTAATTATACAACTTATTTCATATCATTAAATGTATGCATAATACATAAACTTATGCGAATTGAAAAATATATTCAATGTCATGATTCATTTGAATGTTTATGTAAAAAAGTGGGTTTATGTAAAAATAAATAAATAAATAAATAAAACTCTATAAATTAAGTGTCTGTGTTAAATAAGAAAAATTCTCATTCCAGCATCACATAGTGTAACATTGCAGGTAGACTTTGTGCGAAAAATTGGCTTCGAAATCAGAATTACAGTCAACAAACACATTTTATTTCAATCCCACCCACATATAATACACATCTCACCTATAAATCATGGATTTAATTTTATTCTTTTATGGTTTTTAATCTCTGTTTCTGGATTTCTCCTTTCCATTATGCATGCATCCCTCGCTTTTCTTGCTTGCTCATTTTGTTTTAGTTTGCAGATTTCAACATATTTATGGAGGTTTTGGTTGGATTTGATTTTGAATAAGTTAGGATTCCTTACGGATGAGCATCGGTTATATTTTTTGAAAAGGGAAAAAGATATAATTTCAGGGCCATGCAAGAAAAACAAAATACTCGAGTTTCAGCGGCTCAGAAAACTCAGAATTCTAGATCAGCACGATCACCAAATATTAATGTTCAGAACGGTTCGTCCCTGCGGTCATGAAAAGTATTCAGGGGAAATATATGATGTAGTATATGTGCTTAGTTGATCAACTTTTGAAACTCTGGATACTTCATCAGCCCCACCGCTGACTAATAATGTTCAAAATCATTAATCAGTGTGATTTTGTGTTCCGTAAAAAATATTAGTATAACAGTGTGGCAATCAACTTTAAAGCTATGAATGCTTCATCATAGTATTAATCTATATCCAGCATATGTTGTTCGTTTGGTATTGAGTATAAACTTAAAACTTTTAGTTTTAGTACGAAGTTGTTTTACGTAACATGCATGCAAAGTAATTTTTTTTTCAATATCATCGTATGCATATATGTTATTTCTCGTGAAACTAACCCCAGATGCAGATAATGCAACATGTATATATAGAGGAGTAGAGGTGCATGGAGTTCGGAGGGGGCACGTTCTCATGCTCAATGTTTTTGAAACAAAGTAATACATTACAATTATTGCATAATTCTCCTTCCAGAGTAGTTAGATGAATCATTATGTTAAGAGACGACTTATATAATTATATTCACCTGCAAGAGCAAAGGCGTCGTTTGATGTTTAATTAAGATTAAATTTGCTTGAACAACTCACTAAATTCAATGAATATTGAATGAAAATATGAATGCCAACCTGAAGTGAAGCTAGCTAACTCAGTTGCAATAGGTCAAAAGACTGAAGATGCTTGGTATGGAAAATACATTATCCACTTCTACGTAGCAAAGATTGTTTGGCAATTTCGCCTTTGGATGCGCCTTCTTGCCTTTTTGATTTGTTTTACATGACATATATGCGCAGGGCATTTTTTTCCTCAATTAAAACATACAAATATTTTATTTATCATGAAACCATCTCCATTGCAAATACTCTAGCAGCTATATATATAGTATATATAGGTCTTAAGATGTTATTTAGTCTTTGTGACAATCGTGCGTTATCCATTCCCAATAGCAAATAGGTTGTTGTTACAAGGGTTTTTTTTAGATATAAACATTTACAATTCTTATTCGTTAAATAAAAATCTATCTAGTTATAAATATTATAAAACTTAAATTTGAAAATGACTGCAAAATAGAAAAGTAATTGGCCTATTATTACAAAATATTTAGGGGAAACCTAATATAAGTCTAATTTTTTGAGTCAATAGTATGAATAGTCTAATTTATTAAAATAAGTCTAATTTCTTAAATTTAATTATTTAATTATGGGACGTTTTGATATAGATACCTTATTTTTTAATTACTTAGACAAAACATCTGTTTCTTTTAAATTTTTGATTAAACATCCTCCTATAAATTTGGGGATTATAATTTCATTTTTTAGTATTTCCTTTTGGCAAATTATCTCGTTTTCTTTTCATTATTCGTGCATTTACAATTTTAAAAATTTTCATTAGTTCATAAAATTATGAAAATCAGAAATCTTCCAATACTTATACAACATTGGTGTTTTATCTTAACTCATAAAATGTACCTAAAAGACAACTTGCAAAAGTTTTTTCTTTAAATAATTGGAAAATACATAATACACATATAAAATGTAGATACAAACAATAAAATAGAAAGTTAAATATACATATTGGTACATTTAAAATAAACGTATCTAAAATCCATTGGTACACTTCGATTTAACATGGGTGCATTTTAATTCAGCATGGTTACATTTTAATTTAGTTATGATACATTTTAATATACCATGAAGACTTTCAATTCGGCATAGGTACATTTTAATTTAAAAATAAGTTGTGTTGGTACGTTTTAATGCTTTGTTAAGAAAGATGGCACATTAATTTCACCTGAATCATAGTTGAATTCTAACGAAGAAAATAGAGAATGAGAAAGATTGTACCAAGTTAGAAACGATTTATGTATATTATCCTATTGAAAATTCTTAATAATTTAAGTCTCTCAATCCTCAATTAATTTGGTTATTATCTATTTGGATCTTATTGAAGGCATTTCTAGCGTACAAATTAATATGAAAAGCATCTAAATCAGGAATATATATGGAATAGATGATTTAATCAAAATTAAAGCACCTAAATCTAAAGTTAAAAAGGAATGAATGTTTTATCTAACAATGTTTAAAATGAGGCATCTAATTCTAATTTTCTCTTTAATTATCAATAATTATCTCTTGGTTCATTTTTGTTATTTTTATTTTTTGTTATTTCTTGTTCTTCCTCCAACTTCAAACCCCATTTATAAATTTTATTTTTAATTTTTATAATCAACCTATATCACATGTTAATCATATCTACCTATATGACAGATTCTTTTTTATAGTTAACCTTCACGTGCAAATTAATGTATCTTGCTTGTAGGTATATTATGTTTTTCTACCTTTTAGTTAGGTTTCATATCTCGCTTATATGTCACATCTCGGCCCAAGCCCCCACCACATCCTGGACTTGACTCCACTGTAACATAATATTGTTCGCTTTGGGCCCCTACCACACCCTCACAGTTTTGTTTCTAGGAACTCACATGAAAACTTCCCAGTGGGTCACCCATCATGCGATTGCTCTCGCACGAACTCGCTTAACTTCGGAGTTCCGATGGACTTCCCAGTGGGTCACCCATCATGGGATTGCTCTCGCACGAACTCGCTTAACTTTCGGGTTCCGATGGAACCCGAAGCTAATGAGCTCCCAAAAGGCCTCGTGCTAGGTAGAGATGGGAATATACATATAAGGCTTACATGATCCACTCTCATGGGTAATGTG